CTCTTATTATTATTCTTGATTCATTTAAAACTATCCTTTATCAGTAGAATTTTCTTAAATCACTTCAACATTATCACTATTGTTATTATTATTGTAACTATTACTATTGATATTACTCTGTTTGAAATTCTTATTATATTCTCTAATGTCTAATTGTTTATCTAAGTGATGTAATTAAAGCGTAATGCATTTTATCCTAATTTTAATCTCTCGCATACTCCCTCTCCCCTTGTCTATTTGAACATGGAAAACATTCCCACCTGTCTTTCTGTATGATTAATTCAATGTAGTTTATTTGTGCTTATCGGTCTTATATCTCCCAATATAATTTCACTACATATCCTTGTATGTAGAGTATTCAGCTGACGAGTTCTACCGAAATTTGATGAATTCATTAAGTCATCCTGCTTTATTAACCACCTTTGTTGCTTGTTTTAAAGTTAGATAACCATTGGAAAACCATCAGGCGGTACTTCACAGCTGTTCTGTTAGCCTAGCTTGATACTCTTCAGTAGTACGCACTCACTGGGGTTGGAATCCAGGACCTTTCAATTACAAGGTGAACTCTTAAACCATTATTAATCTTTTTACTTTGGGTATTTAGTGAGGTCTTTAGATTAAATATGCCATTGATTTAGCTAGTTTTTAGATGATGTGTGGTGAAAAACACCACTTTAAATGTGAAGACATTATGAATTCAGGGGATAAAACATCATCTGAAATCAATCAATATTTGGCATAGCGAATAGACTCAGTAACTGTTTTATTCTCATTAACAATCTGAGTTTAATGAGTCTGAGTTTGAGTGAGGCGTTTTTCGGAGAATAAAAACAACCCATTGACTGACACCGATAATAATAATAATAATAAGTATAGCAGTTTTGTTCTTAACAATATGTAGGGATTATGCATTTATTCGCCTTTAGAAATATCAATACATCAAGAACAACAATCTGTAGAGAATAAGATGGTACAATTATTGTTCATTTCGCCGACTTCTCATCAACTGATTACTGACCGAAGATATCATTAACTGCTGTGTGTAAGGAAACAATTTTAACATACTTGCAATTTTCACATAATGTCAGTCGATAGAGAGTTCCAGTTTCGACAAAAAATCACTGTATGCATACACTGAAAAAGGTGTCATGTAATAAAGACGAGAGGTAAGTGAGACAAGGAGTAACTAAAAACCTGAGTAACTATCTATATATTGAATTCAACTCAAATTATAGGAATAGGAGACAAATAATGTTATAGCATGTCAAAAAGGGGGGCGGGTAAGGGGGGAGGTGAAAGCCAAAGATTGAGTAATCAGATGAAAGAGAGAGAATAAAGACCATACAAAAACTAGGACAAGGAAAGGCTGATAACTCTGCTCCTGTCTGAAAACAATAAATTAGCCATCAAATGTCTGATAGAGATTGTCTCGATAAAATTGATGAAAGTATAAACCTGGGGCACTGTGGTGGTAGAGTATAACTCCATTATAAATAAGATTTTATTTTGATAAACAATCTGGTGTTGTACAGTAATATTAACTGATGACTAAGGTTCGAGCACAAATTATTGCCACACATAATCATATCATGTCACTCACACAACTTTCTTCCTTCATTTATATACATGAGTAAAATTGATGATTAGACATTTGGATAAAAATCAACCAAAATAGGATAATGTACATTCAGAAATAATAATAATATGAGTGTTATCAATCAAATCCAATCACATGGCAAATAAGACGAGTGTTTTTATAGTCAAAATAAATAAGTAACTTGTTAGAATGTCATGAAGTACGTGAGGTGAAGTAGAATTTTAAGATTATTTATTATCCTCCTCTGATTTGAGTGACTGGCGGTAATAATATCTTCCATATCTCTGGTAATTACGTTGAGACATTTCTGTTGCATGTGTTGGGTGTAGACTGGATGAACCAGACAGGATTCAGTAATCAGTCTCTCTCTCTCTCTCTCTGTCTCCACTGACCTATATTACTTTTTAGAATTTTGACTCTATCGCACCCACTTTATTGTGCGGTTGTGTGTCATTGCAAGGTATTTTGTTAATTATACTATTTTGTGTGAGTAATTTGATTTGATGATTATGAGTGACACTAGTTTATGCTGGAAAGGTGGTCATCACTTAGTATTAAAATGTATAACAAACACTGTATGATTTATCAAAATAAAATCTTATCTATAATGGAGAAATTGATGAAAATTGAGCCATTTTTCGCCATTGATTATTTTCCACAATTTTGTGACATCCAACTCATGACCCGTGTCAAAGAGATGCCTGGCAATGAGATTTTTGAAGGCATTTGTTCTTTTGAGACGTAGACTTTTTGGTACGTGGTCAGAAAATTCGGAGGTGTATCACTCTTTCTAATCTCTCAATGTAACTGCTCTCACAGATATATATATATATATATATATATATATATATGTATACACAGTTAAATTTAACATGGGAAGAGTATCTGCCTACTTTTGACTGCACCAAAGAGCCTGTTTTCTGATAGACGGGAACCAGCTTAGTTTCAGAATAGACTCTGGCTAGTGAGATGTTCAGTCTTCTGTTGATTATTTCTGCAACATTATCACCTTTCAGATCTAGTTTAATGAAAAGAGGCTTTTTCCTCACTATGATTTTTTTTGATATTTCGGCCTTCACACCACCATTATTGGTTAACGCATCTCAATGGGTAGTTACTGTTTTTCGAAATCTTTCTGAGAATCATAAATTCTTCTTCTAACTTCTTTGTAGAGCATATTCTCATGACTCCAATGAATAGAGTTCTCACTACTGCTCGTTTATAGCTTTATAAGCAGCTTATGAGAAGCCACTAAAATAAATGATTATATCATCTTCTTCTGTACAAACTGTTGTTCTTGCTACATTCAAATATGTTAACACATAGTAGAGAATATTCAGCAGATTTAAATTCCAAAATGTCTCCTCTTCCTACATGATCTTCAAATAAATTGAGAATACTGAAACAACAACAACAAGGCTTTATCTTACAAAGTCAGTATGCATCACTGAAACCCACTGGAACGTTCACACCAAGGTGTTATATGGCTTGCATAAAGTGCACGAAAAGGGTGTACCACTTCAACCAGAGCTCCTAGGTATGTTAAACTCACCATACTATCCTGTAGCCAAATGGTTAGTCGAACTCTGGCAGCCTCTTCATACTGAGTTGGTGAAACACAGTGTTGTAAAGGATACTTTTGGATTTGTTGAAAGGATAAAAGATTTCAATGTTGACAATAAATTCATGATATATCATTTGACGTATCTTATTTATTCACCAGTGCTACCCTCTAATGGAAACAGTGGACTTTGTATGCGAAGAACTCATAAGACGAAACATCGATGTTGGCATTCCTATATCATTTATAAAAGAGCTTCTCTTGAAATGCATAATGAATGTTCACTTTTTATTTAATAAGGAACTATATATAGGCAAATCGATGGTGTGGCGATGGCGTCACCACTCGGACCCATTCTAGCAGACATTTTCTTTGCGAAACTGGAAAATGGGCTTTTGAAGGATGTTATTGATGAACTTGAGTTCTATTGTCAGTACATTTTGATTTTGAAAAATGTGAAGGAGGTAAAGAGCTTCCTGGATGAATTTAATGAGGTTCATCCTGCAATAATTTTACTATTGAGAAAGAAAAAGACTTTAGTATTTCAGTTTTAGACGTCCTTATGACCAGAAAAGAGGATGGCACAATAAGAAGAAGTGTAAATAAGAAAACCTACATCGGTTCACAGAGCAACAGCAATCTACTCAGAAGAATGTTTTGATGGGGGAAATTATTAGGATTAAACGGTACCAACAGTTCCAAAATGCAGTTCCTTGGCGACAACATGCGAGATGCTAACACAGTGTCTGAGAAATGCGGTAAAAAGAGCACTGCCTGCTGCTGAATTACGCTATGTCTTCAAAACCAGCCTTATTCTACGTTCGGTAGTAATACACAAACTGCTATACCTCGCCTCTTCCATGTGTGTCTAACAATTTAACTGCTCCTGTGAAGTGAGCCAGTTACATAAGCCGTACAATTAGGCGTGTTTCCCGTCGGATTTCTGAACATCATCTTGCGTGGTTAAATCAAGTAAAGGACAAATAAAATCTATTCACATAGGGCTCTTCTATCTCACCTTGTGGGTACACAACACAAGATTGATGTTAACCAGACTTTCAAAGTCATTTACTGCATACCAACAAATCTTAACTTCGTCTTAAGAGCTCGTTTACTTAATACTGCTGAGACTGGCTGTTGGGATCCACATTAAGAAGCCTAACTTATGCGATCAAAAGAAGCTAGTTCAGACATTATACTTACCCTAGACCATCTAGTTTTGAATGATCCTCAACTATTTGTAGAACTTTCCTTAATTTCAGTTGATATTTTATTTGCTATTATATCTTTATTATTATTATAATTTAAGCTTCTTTCATGAACTGTAATTCCATTGTGATATTACTTTACGAATTGATATTATTTAAAAAAACACTAATATTGTTATTGACTACTATTCTAGAATATTCCATGTATATAAACACACATGTGCGTCGGTGTCACAGTGGTTAGGATCCTCACCTACCATGCACATGGTCCGGGGTTCGAGCCCACGCCGACGCACACCCGATATCTATGGTCGGCCTGCGAATTTCGGGCTATCGATATCCACGCTGAAAATTCCACACTTGCACCAAAAATACGGTGTGGAATCAAGCTGTAAATCAAAATTATAGAGCCAGAAGAGGAGGAAATTATCGAAAAGGATATTCTTTGCTGGCTCAATTATTTTGCGTTTTATAGACAGATGTCTGAATGAATGTTTTCGTTACTACTAAGTGCATCCTTTAAAACGAATTACCATAATATAGCATAAATATATATTTATTCTATTGGTTACATATACACAGAAGTAAAAGTTAAAACAAAAAAAGCATTTGAATTTTATCATGAAATCGTACTATTATTATTATTATTACTATTATTATTATATAAATAGAATTCATTATTTCTTCCTTCCTTTACTCTGATATCCCCGTTTTCAATAAATATTCAGCCTAATTAATTGCATGTGAGACAAAATAGAAATTATAAAGGCGTGAACTTTTATTTTTAAAGAAGATCAGTTGAATAAAACAACACTGAAAAATGAACATATGCTGGACATTGAACAAAACCATTTAATGCATAATGATCTATAAAACAGTTATTTCCCCTTTATGAATTTAGGCAAAGCAATAAGAAAACACAATCAATCAAATCCTTACAAACCAATACTTGATAATCGATGAGATCCTCACTAGCGACTGGCCCTATTTAGGTAGATAGTTACATGGGTTCTAGTGGGAAGTTGTGAACAGTAGGGTACAGATACTCGTCGAAGACATTGGCTGGTCGTCACGCTGTGTCGTGAATTGTCAGAAGTTAGAATTCATGGGCTCTCTGCTGAATGGTTGAATGTAACCTGGGTTTGATCCCTGGTGGGTGCGTACTATTGAAGAGTCTCAAACTAGGACGATGTCGTTGTCCATTACTCTCACGTTTTCCAGTGGTTCTCTAAGTGATGTCAGCTATTGATGAAATCTTCCATGCACTCAAATAAATATCTGTTGATTTCCTCAAAAAAAAAAAATCTATAGCGTGGTCCTTGTCTTCTGTCGTTACAATAGTGGTAGTAGTAGTAGTAGTCTATGAACAGTTGCAGTAGTATTTGCTTAGATTGTCTGCTTTTCTTGTGATTTTGCACATCGTATAAGTAAAGCAATCACTATTTGTTGCCACAACAGCAACAAGGAAAATCTACAGGTAACACATCAATCAATCAATCAATCAACCAATCATTCAGTCTAATATTATAAAGGGTTAACTCACCACAAAATCAACTGGATCTTCTGGTCGTATTTCAGTACATTTCAGTAAAGCTTTCGATAAATCTGGCATAATATATTTCATTAGATAGTGACGCATTGGTAGTGAATGCGCTTCAGTGTATTGATAATTCTGTGCATTCAGCAAAGAAAGCCACCTATTCTAAATAATTAGTAAATATGATAAAATTAAAGATTAATACAATGTTCCACATAGTAAAAAATAATACTATTATTATTACTATTCGGCTGGCTTCCGATTGTAATATGCGGCTTTAGCAACTCGTCTCTGCAAAGTTAAACCTTCGACACGACTAACAACCAATCAGCGAACGACCTTGAACGGGCCAATCACATTAAAAAGGCATATATGATAAATGGAAATGTATATTTATAAAAAAAAGCATAAAACTGTTACAGGGGATATCTTTCCCTAACGTGTGAGATAAACATCTCCCAGTGAAGCATCGGACTGTCAACAGAAAAGTTACACCACATTCTGTACAACATATATTCATCCAAATGACTATAAATGAAATCCTTTTGAGATCCATTTATAGCCCTTATCCTATTTTTCAACCTCCTTCAAAATCCCTCAATAGAAATTGTATAATTCCTCGTAACGGGGTCGACAAAATCACTTGAATGGTTGACTCTATGATGAATATATCGCAGAGATGACAGGGAATTGTAACCTTTCCATTTGTCATTATGTTTTATAGACCCTCGGTTTACAAATCTGGTGATAATACGTATTAGAGTATTTGTTTTCAGACTGCTATCCTTTCGACAAATCCCTTTCGGAGGGAGGTGTCGTATAAGTGAAGCAAGTAACCTCCTTCAGGTTTCTTCCGTTGTTGGTGAGTGGTGCTGGTTGTTGTTGCTGTTGGTTGGTTGATTAGTTATCTTCATCACCCTCTCCGTCTGCTGAATATCCAGCTGGAATCCTATCTTTGCTGCCTACCTCTTCAGTCATATTGTTGCATTTCGCTTGTAAGTCTTTGAGTTTGTGTAATATTAAACATAAATCATCCACACGGGAAATACAGGTCTTCTAGAGTCTTCTCATCAGTCCCACCTGTTCTTGTCTTTTCGCTCCAATGCTTACTCGTCCATATCATCGTTGGTGACGGTAGGCAGCCTTGTCTTACTCCTCTATTCACTCTTCTGTAGGTCGCCCGACATGTATCATTGTCACACACCCGTTGAATGAAGTTTATATAACTTCGGGTCACTGCACTGTGTACTTGAAATAGTTTCCAAATTATATCACACCCAACACTGTCCAAGGCCTATTCGAAGTCGATGAATCCTGAATCCCGCTTATTCTTCAATTAATCAGTCAACTGAATTGTTATAAATCAAGCAAATGAATGAGTTAATCAGTAAGTAGATTTTAAACCTAAAATAATCTATTTGTAGTAGGGTACGTACTACTAATTCATTGAAATAAGTAGTTGAAAAGCACTAGTGTCAAACAGTAGTACTTGTCAACCAGAGCTATGTGACCTTAAAATTGAACAGTGGTACCACTCGTCTGTGGCTGGCTGAGCCTATCAAGAGGCATACCCAGATTAACTTAACTCAAAGAGTTGAATCCGCTCAAATAACCAGAATTGTGTAGCCATTTGCAAGTAACGAATTCAATCCAATAAGTGTATGGTGATCTAGTCCAATAAAAACACAACATCCCTTTCTAAGTTGAAATAACAACAAGTAAATTCAACAAGTAAATATATGGATGATATATGGATGACACCTTCATTCTTTTTGATAATTTATTCGAATAGGAGTACAATAATAACTGAATTAAATGAAGTACATTCGGCTATGAAATTCCCATGCGAACAGGAATTTCAAAACACAATTGCCCCACTGGATGTCCTCCTTACATTACCTTACGATTGTCTAACATAATCAGTGTATAAGAAGGGAGATTTTTAATTTGACTTTTAATATTGAGCTTACTTTATTGGCCTGAATTGATGAATATCTTACGCCTCTTACACCTGATATTTCTCCTCTGAATGATCTCCGTCTTTTGAGTAAGTTGCTTCATTTATTTTGTGTATTTATATAAAATTAGAAGATCTGGATTTCACGACTGGATGGTTTATGTTTAATGCCACACAAACTCAAAGACTTACAGGCAAAAAGCAACAAACTGTCTGAAGAAGTAGACGTTGAAAAGACAAGACTTCAGATGAACATAGAGAAGATAGAGGGGGTGATGAAGATAAACAACCAGCGACAGCCACAACAACAACAACAATCAACGTCAATTAGATGATGATATTTGACAGAAGTTACTTCCTTCACTTATACAGCAGGGATCGTCTCAACCACAGGCACATAGCACAGAGGAATATGTCAAAGCCAGGCTCGGAAAGATATATCTGACCTTCATCATTCCAAAATCAGTTTGGAAATCTCTTGTACTCATCATAAACCCCAAGGTTCAGATTTTTATCATAAATACTGAGTCAGTCACTTTTAATAAGGGTCAGAAACTTGGCCAGCGTGTCACGAAAAGGATTTCAAACAGGCTATGGCAGACTTTTATCAGAAGCAGCTGATACGGCAGCTCCATTCACTGTCTCCATATTGAAGATCAAATGGCAGGCGGAGCAGAAGGAATAAAGCATAAAAAAAACTACAGGGGAAAAATTAACCAATAATCTAATGCTGAACAAATATGTAGGAGAAAAATGGAGATGGACTGGGTACACTATGAGGAGACCGTTGAATGTCATCACACAACAGGCCAAGACTCGATTGGAACCCAAATGAGGAGAGACGATTTGGGTGTGTGCCTGAGTGTGACATGATGGAGATCGTGTGGTGTGGAGGAGATGAGAGATTATGGGCAATAGTGGGCACAGGAGAAGAGTCCAGTAGAAGATAGGACAAAGGGGAGTTAAAGTGTTGTTGAAGTCCTATATTCCAATCGGAAATCAAGGGAATAAAAATGTGAAATAATAATTTCATCACTTAGATATACGCTGATTCATTCACTCTTCAAGATAACAGAATAAGTAGGCGATTCATTAGTTTTTAAGAGTTTGCTTTGCAAGGATAAGATTTGTTTATACGAGTTCGACTACGGATTGATATCATTTAGATAAGCATTGAAAACCAGCCACAGGTAGTACTGGAGAGCTGTTTCATCCTAGTTTTTTTTGAGAATCACAGGCAGTACGCCACTCACCGCAAAGGCTTGAACCCAGGACTTTCCAATTACAAGGCAAGTTGGCTTGTATACCATTTAGCCACTGGGACCCACCTAATTCCATGACCAATGCATGAATTCTATCTGCTATCAATTCGTGATTTAGCGCGACCACCAACCAATCAATGTCATCGATGCGAACTACATCCTCACTCCCGACTGGATAAACCTCACTGGTCACGACTTCTCACTAGAAGTTTAGAAAACTCCGCCGTGTAACCAGTAGTCACTAGCGTGGATGAAATGAATTTTGATTTGTAAGGATTAGATTTATTTGCACGAGTTTTCCCAATTTATCGAAATACAACAACTTCGGTCAGCTATCAAACAGACATCCTACGCTGCCACATCTCTTTTTCTCATATGCAGAACATTTTCGATCCCTGTACAGACCTACGTTTAAAGGACGAAATCCTCTGGACTCTAGTTCAAAATGTATCTACAAGTTCACCTGCAGCTGCAGTGACACCTATATATATAGAACCAGTAGAATGTTGCAATGTCGTTGAAAAGAACGCGATCCAAAATGCTTATTAAAACACATAGAGAATCTCAATGCAATTAATCTGAATAGAAATCCAGAATCATCATCCATTGCAAAACACTTATTAATGTCAGGTCACAAAATCAATCAATATTAATGACTGTTTCACAATTATTTCATCACATAACTCTAATTCAAGATTAGTTATTGAAGGTGGTGGAAGCACTTTGGGGGATTAATTACATACAGCCTAAACTATGGGTTCAAAAACAACAGACTTCAGCCTTCGCCTACCATGGACTACATGGCCTATTTAAATATGATTGGTCATTTGTATGTACTTTTGCGGATGAGTACTCCCTATGTTCCACTTGGAAACTCAAAAGAATAATAAAGTTTCCCCTCCTATTTTATCTATGTTCCCTAGGAAGGCCGGCAATTATACATCTCATCCAACAGTTGTACGACAATGCTGGATGCCAAGTAATCCACAACAGGAAATTCATGGAATCCTTCGAAGCGAAGACGGGAGTAAGACAAGGCTGGCTGTCTACTTACCATCTTCAATGATTTTCCTGATTGTAGGCGGTAGACTGGATAATGCGACAGACAAAGAGCGGCCAACGAGAAAACAGGCATACCATGGACCCACACAAAAAACTCGGAGGATCTGGGTGTCACCGATAACATATTTATGTCTGATTTCCCACAAACTGGAAGACATGCAAGTGAGAAGCAACAACTTAGCAGAAGAAGCATCCTGAGAAGACAGGACTTCCTTCAGGTAAACATAGAGAAAACAGAGGTGATGAAGATTCTTGGGCAACACCAACAGCAACAACAAAAACAGAAAACAATCAGCCAGCATAAATAGGCGAAACCTGAAAGAAGCAACCTCCTACACTTACCTACCCGGGAGCACCGTCGTTTCAACTACAGGCGGATGGAACTGATGACGATATCAAAACAACGAGGATCATCGAGAAAGCAAGGCTAGTTTCCATTACTCTCAAGTCTGTGTGGAGAACAACAGCACTCAGCATCAAAAATAAGATCCGGATTTTCAACTCCAATGTGAAGTTAGTGCTACTCACTCTACGGATCAGAGACTTGGCGCGTCATAAAGAGCACCTCAAACAAACTACAGACCTTCATCAACAGCTGTCTTCGCTCAATACTTCGCTCAGGACCAGATGGCCAGAAAAGATCAGCGATAGGGATCTCTGGGAACAAACCAACCAGTAACCCATTGTGCAACAAATAGACAGAAAAAAATGGAGATGGATTGACGACTATACTCTTAGAAAACCATCAAGTGACACCACATGACAGGCCATCACTCGAGTGGAACCCGAAAGGGAAGCGGCGAGTTGATCGTCAGTGTGGGGGTGGGGTGACTTGGAAGAGGTCATGTGAAGAGGAGATGAAAACATGTGGGCAGACATGGAGCCAGGTGAAAACTCTAGCACAGAACTGAACGCAATGGAGATGTTTGGCTGGAGCCCTATGTTCCTCAAAGAATTAAAGGAAATAATAATAATAATTGTCACACAATTTATTTTATTATTGTGAACCAACCATATTAGTTGTAAAGCAGTTGTAAAGAAACCACGAAATGATGCCATCATCTCGCGAAATTTGTCTTCTAAATGCCTTATACAAATATTTGTTTATGCTTTGATATGAATGACCACCTTGTTCACTTTTCAAACATCATTCTGCTTACTTGTATGATTGAACATTAGGCGTATATTCAGCCATCAGACTAGGATATTAAATTACTATGGAAAAAAGTGGGTTGCTTCTGAAAAAAAAAGAAACTAACTCCTTCACTAACCCAGTCATCTTGATATTGTTGAAGTAGTTTAGCTTCTTCTCTTTTGTCTCGTTCCATTTGACTTTCAGAGATTTTCATCTTGACAGATTGTAATTCTTTCAAATGTTTCATAGCTCTTTGTTGAATTTCACATTCACCTGGTTTTGATGATGATGAGAATAATTTTATAGAAGGTAGATATGGTGCTTTCTGACGTCCGATCACTTTACGTACTTTTTCAAAACAATCTTCTTGTGGACCATTTGTACCAATCAACTAAATAAATAAATAAGTACAAACATTCTTGATATTCAAGTGTTGGTTTGTAGAGATTTGATTGGTTTCAGGATTTCATCATGAGCTGACAGTAGTTGGAGAACCATTGGAAAACCTGGGAGTACTGGACCTTCCGGAAGGTCCTGGGTTCGAATCCCGGTGGATGCGTGCTGATGAAGAGTCCCAAACTAGGACGAAACAGCTGGCTGTCCAGTAGTCCCAGGTTTTCCAATGGTTCTCTAACTAATGTCAGCTCATGATGAAATCCTGAAATTCTTGATATTATTAGTAAATTATAATTGATAATAATAATAACTAGTAGTGGAGTCCACCAATTGAATTCTAATTAAATGCCCAGACATCGTCAAAGCATCTGCACAAGAAGCCCACAGACATGTCAACCTGAAACCGAGCACTTCGGTCCAATCAATCGACAGGAAAATCTAAAATTCAATTAAATAATTAATATGACCCGTTGCACAAGATGTGGGGTGGCTCTCGTGGCCCAAGTGGTCTAGTGGATAACACTTTGGCGTTTGAAACTATGGGTACTGGGTTCGAGTCTCGGTGGAAACATCCTTACTCACTGGGAAATGCAGGTACTTCCAGATGACGAGTCCTGAACAAGATGAAATGCGCATCCTGGTGGATTCCACTGCTAGTCAACATACACCAATTAACCCTTAATTACTTGGCGACACATCGTCGAAGTAACTGCACAAGAAGCCCACAGACATGTCAATCTGAGACCGAGGACTTCGGTTCAATCAGTCGACAGGAAAATCTAAAAGTTCAATTAAGATAATAATAATTAATAGAAAATTAAAAATTCAGCAGTCATTCAAACCCAACCCAATTCTAACTTCTACCAATTCATGACATAGCGTGACCACTTCCCAATGTCTTCTTCGATGAGTTACTGCCTCACCTTCAACCTGCTGCACCCTACTGGTCACAGCTTCCCACTAGAATACCAGGTAACTAACTCACTGCCTGAAAAGGGCCAGTCGCTAGTGAGCATCAGATTAATTTTCAAGTATTGGTTGTGTAGGGATTTTGTTTGATTGGATGGAGGATTTCATCACGAGCTGACATCAGTTTGAGAACTACTGGAAAACATGGGAGTACTGGACAACTGTTTCGTCAGCCTAGTTTGGGAAGCTTCAGCAATACGCAGTACAATGCAATCCTGTAATGAATCAAGCAAAATCCTTACAAAACCATTACTTGAAAATTGATCTGATGCACACAAGCGACTGGCCCTATTCATCAGACAATTAGTTACCTGGAGGCTACATCTTCAGCGTATACTTCAATTTGTTGAAGTGAGCTCCTAAATTTCTGAATGAGTTCACTAGTCATCTCTCCTGGTGGGTGACATTGAACGTCAGGATTGGTTATCTTTGTCTGTTTTCACACTCTAGTCTACTTGCAGTATCGGTATCGATTGTTTGCTTGACCTGAAGTTTGCCTTTTCGTGCATGAGATTTTCCTCCTGTCGATTGGTAGGTTTTGTCTATGTCAAGTTTCCTGTTAATTACCGATTTACTGGAATATCAGGCTTCTGAAAACATGAAAGAGAAGCTTCCGTCTCCAAAAATCTCAACTGTCCCTGAGAAAACTTTTCTCATGAACCTGGAATTCACAGGTGACATCGCAGTAGAAATTCTTGGAAACTGCCTTCCTAAAGGTCTGAAGAAGACATTTCCAATAGCTAACTTACATATCACAGTCTCCAGCAGACAATTAATTCAGTCTAACTTCAAGGATAAGATATTGCTTTTGGTCATCTCAGTGTGTATTTATCAATTTACTTGCTCGTGTGGAGTAAAGTATATCGGCCATACGCAACGTCAAGTCTGGAGACGTATTCTAGAACACTGTCCAACATGGTTAGCCAGAGGATAAAAAAAGAATATTGGCAGTTCTATCATCGAACACCTTGTCAGCTCCGGACATCGAGCACCCCCGCATGAATGCTTCACAGTGCCACCCTAGAGTTCGTCGATATCGTACAAAGGGACTTCGCATACACCATCTGCACATAGCTGAACCATAAGCTATTCCAGATCTGAAACCAGAACTCTGCATTCAAAAGTAATACATACATTCTCTCGCCCTACCGTGGCCAGAGTGAAGTTCTTACTATAATCTTGCTTCTTCTTTTTATTATGTAAGTTTATTGTTATTACTACTATTATTTTATTATCATTATTATTCCCATCATCTATATTTTATTACCACTCCATTACTGTTTATTAATAACATAACATGCGTTTTCATACAGATTTTATATAAAAACACTTAATCGCCTTTTCCACTAATTTTTGTCCATTCTATACGAGCTTATTGTGATTAATCACTATCTCACACTTATTACGTCACGCCAACTCCTGTCTCTTCTCTAGCTTACAATTAGTTATGCCTTCTTAAACCTTAAGTTATGTAATACAACTTTTTAAGGAGAAAGTTTACCAGTATCTGATTGATCGGAAAACATTTCTTTGTTTAATATAATTACGATTGTACAGCTCACGAAAATGAATAGTCGAAAAGGGAAAATTTTCTTCACTTTTTGCGTCTTTTTCTTATAAGTAATTAGAAGTTAATTGGTAGGTGATGACTAGCAGTGGAATCCACCAGGATGCGTATTTCGTCCTATTTGGTACTCGTCACTGGACGTACCTGCATTCCGCTGTGAGTGATGATATTCCCACCGAGACTCGAACCCAGTTCCCTGAACTAATTAAACAATGAGGCAAACGCAACTGATGAATACATTTCGAATAAGTATACGTTAAAATAAGTAATATACACTTACTGAACTGAAATCTTTATCCATGTCAATAACAACTGGATGAATTTCTCTGATATCAAAATACGTCAACACATTCTCTTCGGTATCATCTGGTGTTTCAGGAATCGGTGGAATATGAGCAAGCCTTAACTCGGCTAAAGTGGATTCAGTTTTTGTATGTTCCTCTTCTTCTTGTTGTTGTTCTTCCCTCACGTTTTCACCTTTTTCACTGTCACGTTCTCCTTCTTCCTTTGCTTTTTCACTTGGTATTGCATCATTTACTGTCTCTTTTATTTTTTCATGTTCATCTTTTTCTTGACCACCACCACCGCCGCCGCCGCCGTCAGTTCCACCTTCAGCTGTAGCTTCTTCTGCTGCCAATGCTCTAAATAATTCTTTTTCAGCTTTACGAAGCTCTCTGCGTTCTTCTTTTTTTTCTTCATGAACTGAATTAAATTTTATAAGAGAATATAATTATAAACCTGAATGATTACTATTATTATTATTAGTAGTAGTAGTCTGCTGGTACCAACTACAATTTATATAGGCAATCAAAGTTGATGATTGTTGTGTGAATTGTGTTACTAAAGTTTGACTTTGTTATCCAATGGCTAGTCACAACCTTGTCGGTGGCACAGTGGTAGAATGCTCGCCAACCACGCCTTATGTGGTTTGGAGTTCAACCTTGAGACACACTGATGCACTCCGAAACCTTGCTAAGCCACCAATAATAAGACTAGTAAAGAGGGGAGAGTGAGCGTGAGGCTAACAACCTCATCCCGTAAACAAATAAACACCACTGCTATATATGTCGTCACCAAGTTCACTTTTAACGGTTTGAAAAATTTCTGCACTGGGTATATGATAATCATTATAATTAAAGTTTTTTGTATTTCCCAATGAATGAATGAATGAAAACGGCAATACGATATTGTTGTTTTTACTGACATCTCGCTATTTAATGCTAATAGCATTATCAAAGTATTATTAAACCAGAATTCACAAAATCCACTCAGCATAGAATCAGGCCACAAAATTGATTTTGACAATACTGAAATCATCATCCAGAAAAACTTCAGAAATCACAAAGAACGTCTTATATCATCAGAAGCAATTCATATAAAATGGAATGTGTATTTCACGATCTACACTTAGTTTTGTTATCTTTACCAATTGACCAACTTGACAACAAAAAAATGACCCAAGACTGACAAACGATGATCAAGTTAGTAAACTTTATTCTGATATCACAACAGACGTACTATTACCTTTGATATTTGGTTTAGTGATCTTCATTGCTATTTTGGCTTTCTAAACAACTTGAGCTGCAATCTACGAATGTTTGGTATGCGATTCGCTCCCGCCGTGAAATGAAAGATGATGTTACAGGACTGGACTACATCGATGCCTAGTTTAAAAATAGGAAGTGAAGTGGTAGAGCACGTTGACCGCTTCACTTATTTGGGAAGTACCATCAGCCCCAACGGGCTGATCTCTGACGAAACCTCAGCACGAATACAGGGGGCTCGTTTCGCATTTGCCAGTTTACGCCGACTCTGGCGTAGACGAGATGTTCGACTATCGACCAAAGGGCGGGTGTACTGCTCATCAGTCCGCTCCGTCCTCCTTTATGGCTGTTGTCGAGACCTGGCCACTGAGAGTGGAAGACATGAAAAGACTAGCTGTCTTTGGTCATAGGTGCCTGTGCTCTATTTCCCGTGTAAAGTGGCATAATTAGGTGAGCAATATTGAGGTTAGGCGTCGAGTTCTAGGTAAACAGGGGAAATCAATCGATGAAGTCGTGAAGTTACAAAGACTGAGATAGTTAGGACATGTGTTACGTATGCCAAGTCATCGCCTCCCTCGACGAGCAATGTTAGCGGATATAGGGTCAGGCTGGAAAAAAGCTAGCGGCGGTCAAACAAAAACTTGGCACCAGTCAATGAAATCCACAACAGTTGGTGTAAGCCACGTAGGAAGGTGTAGACTTCCAGGCTGAGGTCCTCGGGACGGTAAAAATCCATGGTTCGAAACATTTGGTGACATGGCTCAAAATCGTTCTCAGTGGCGCAGATGCATCCGCTTTTGTGACTTATGATCTCCAATGAAACTGTTTTGTTCTATTTTATTACTTTTCCTTTGTCTCACACCTCTGCTTTTCTTGTACTTTCTTCTCTTGCTTCACGTGCTACACGGAGTGTGGCGAGTTGAACTGGTGGACATATGTGCAAAGTTCTATGTCGAAAACAGACAGACATATCCCTTTAACTTGACCTCACCTCTCAGCTCTTCGCTGAGATTTTGTAAATCCCGGTTTAATAATACTTTGATAAAGCTATTAGATTTAAATAGCGAAACGTCAGTAAAAACAAGAGCATCGTTTTGTGTTTCATTCATTGAGAAATACAAAAATCTTTATTATAATGTAACACCACTGGTATCAGAACTTCAAGACTCTAGCTTCACACCGCCTATGTTCCGCTGGGAACGTGAAGGAATAAAAAACAATCACAACCTCACATTGAAATTGAATCAACTGGTAGGCATACAATGGTTGACCAGTAGAGTCAAACACTAGTAGTCGGCTGTGTGAATAGATGCTTATTGATAGCACTGGTGGGGTTAACAATACCTTCTTATCATGAAATGAAAGAATAATCAGGATTGAATTAGTCAGCCGAATTCGTCAACGTTATCCGGCTGATGTGATCAGTTGATGATCCTAAGTTCAAAACTTTTCTTTCAGAGGTTAGCTTAGATCAAACTAGAAAGAAACAGCTCATCATAATCCAAGAATCTCTATACTTTTCGAGGAGAAATTTGTCTCCGGGAGTTCATCAACTAAAAGTCATGTGGCTTGAATTCTTACTGCTTATTTTATTGATATATACAGAAAAAGTTTTTTTCTTCAAAGTAAATTTGTACAAGTTTAATATCTGGCATGTTAAAAATTCCCTGCTGGGAGCTGTAAATTTTGTTTTTTAACAAGCTTATGATGAACTTTTATTGTTATGGGAAAATTGTGTAAAATAAAGTATTATGAATAGCCTAAAAACATCCTCAAAATGTTTCTACACTTCGTTACTTGGCCGGCTCAAAGCAGCAGTCAAAGACTTCTTGAAAACCACACCTACTTTGCATCCGGCAGTCAATGATAAACTGCCTAATTTCTCCTTTTCTGTGTGTGTGTCAACAATTTGACTCCCCCTGTGGAGCCAGTTAGTTACATAGGCCGCAGAATTAGGCCTGTTGTTCGTCGGATTCCTGAACATCATCCTGCGTCGTTAAGTAAAGGACAAACAAATTCATTCATAGCTGTATTCTATCTCATCCTGTGGATGCAACAGAGAACAAGATTGATGTTAACGAGGCAACTTTCAAAGTCATTTACAGCATTTCAAATATTCTTAACGTCACCTTAAGAGTTCGTCTACTATATATTACTGAGGCTGGCTGTCAGGATCCACAATAAGAAGCCTAATTTATGTGTCCAAAAGAATCTGGTTCAGACATTATCCTTACCTTGGCCATCTAGGTTTTAATGATCGTCAATTTTCGTGGCAATTTGTTGATATTCTATTTACCATTATATTATTTCTATGATTATTATAACTTAAGCACCTTTATTAAACTGTATTCCATTGAGCTTACTTTACAAATCGATATTATTTAAAAAAACACTGATATTGTTATTGACTACTACTCTAGACTATTCTGTATATATATATATATATATATATATATATATATATATATATAAACTGTAGAGCTCATACCTGAAATATGGAAAACACTATTACCAATCAAATCAAGTGAAAATCAAGAGAAAAACAATGGAACTATATAAATGAATTTAGGAAGTCGTGTGATTACCTTGATATGATCATGAGCAATAAATTGTGCTCGAAACGTCATCAGTTCATATAACTGTAAACACTGTGCGATTTATCAAAATAAAAATCTTATCTATAATGGAATTATACTCTAACACAGTGCCCAAGTTTTATACTTATATCAAACTGTAGAGCCATGAGAAGAAATTATCGAAAAAGATATTCTCTGCTCAGCATTTTTGTTTTTGTCTTGGATTGAGAGGATAACTGTGTTTGACCACTCCTACCTCTTTCCAAACCTGAAATCCAAAGTCAACTAACATTCTCGGACGAGCAAGGCGATGTCTCAGTATGTTTGTCCGAATCGCCACTCGTTTAGTAGTAGCACTGACTTCACACTGAAGTTAAAAATCCGAATCTTATTTTTCATGCTGAGTGCTGTTGACCTCCATTCAGACTTGAGAGAGATAGAAGCTTGTCTTGCTTTGCCCGTGATCCTCGCTTCGATATCCTCATCAGTTCCATCAGCCTGTATTTGAAACACTGTTTCCCAGATGGATAAGTAGGTAAAAGAGGTTGCTTCTTTCAAATTTCTCCCATTCATGCTGGCTGATTGCTGTCTGTTGTCGTTGTTGTTGTTGTTGGCCAGGAATCGTCATCACCTACGTATGTTTTCTCCATGTTCATCTGAGGGAAGTCCTCTCTTATCTGGATGCGTCTCCTGCCAACTTGTTGCTTTCCACTTGCATATCTTCCAGTTTGTGGGAAGTCAGATATATATCATCGGCGAAGTCCAGATCCTCCGAGTATTTTGTGTGGGTCCATGTTATGCCTGTCACCTCGTTTCCCACTGTCTGTCGCATTATCCAGCCTACCGCCTACAATCAGGAAAATCATTGTAGATAGTAAGTAGACAGTCAGCTTGTCTTACTCCTAACTTCACTTCTTCGAAGGATTCCGTGAGTTTCCCGTTGTGGATCACTTGGCATGCAGCATTGTCGTACAACTGTTGGGTGAGATATATAATTGTTGACGGCACCCTTTGGTAGTAGCGAAGTAGCTGCCTTCCTCTCAATCGACACTGTCGATCGTAACATAACGGTAAAAAATTAAAGGGACAATCTCTGAAATATGTGTGTAATCCAACAGCCTTAATTTACTATAAAACAGGCTATTGTATAGTATACTTATTTATCAATGACTCTTAGATTAAAGCACACAAACTATCCACCAACAAGTTGGTTAAGTCTATAAGAATAACTAAGCAACAACAACAAAAAGAGAACAATTAATTCTGAGCTTCTTTATAAATAATATCACTTTTCTTACATAAGTTAGCCTCATCAATAAGTGCTGCACGAAAAGCTGCAGCGCCTGGTGCCATTGCAGCACGATAAGCTTCTAGGCGTCGTTCATGTCTATGCTTTTGTGTTTCTAAGTGTTTCAATACTGTCATCTCTTCACCGGGTGCATTTTCATCTGTATCCGCCAAGTGTTCTGATTCTTTTTCTGGTTCATTCTCCACATTATTTACACTTGATTTCATCTTATCAGCATCTTGAGACGTGTATTTCTCACCCAATAGACAAGCTCTCCATAATGGTGGGATAATTAAAGCTTGTTCAGGATTGAGACCAGCCTCTGTTGATTGTCTGTTGAATCGATGACGTACTAATTCATTACTACCCATTAAATAGATTACATAATTTGGTGTGATTAATCGATGAGATGATGGAAATTTCTCATTGCCAAGAATATCTTCATCTTCTGGGTCAGCTGTAATAGAAAAAGAGTAAATTTTTCATTAAGATTTTCATAGAGGATAAAATCATTGTCAATTAATATCAATGCTTATTCACCTCAAAAATGTTATGATGATAATAATCACTATTTAAATAACTTAATATCAATTTTCATGACATCATGTTAAACTAATACATATGATGGAGAAAATTTGTAGCTAAGGCGGATGGATGATTTTGATGTGGTTGTATTCTTTGAGGTGGATAGTTAATTTGCGAAGATTTCATCGCCCCAACACTAGGCAACATCAATTTGAAGTCAGCTTTTAGATTTCCCCACGAGTTTATTATTCATTTCTCCCGGTGACCTTGGACGTGATTGGTTAACAGCTGCGAAAAACACTACATTGGACGCCAAAGTGGACGTCCCCTTCGTCATCGTATCCACGAGCATAAGCTAGCCGTCTAAATACATGATATCCAATCCCTCGCTCATATCACTACATACAGACAACCACGGACATCAATTCGACTGGGACAACGCTCAAATATTGGAGAGAAGGAACACCAAGAATATCAGAGAATTTGTAGAAGCCTGTCTGATATTTCAGTGAATCATCAATCAATAGACACATCCAGATAGACACAATTTACCAATCGATAAGAAAGAAACCTCACAGACAAAAGGTTGACTGATGTCAGCTCATGATTAAATCCTCCATCCAATCAAACAAAATCCCTACAAAACCAATACTTGAAAATTAATCTGTGCTCACTAGTGACTGGCCCTATTCAGGCAGTTAACCTAAGGTTCTAGTGGGAAGCCGTGACCAGTAGGGTACAGCAGGTTGAAGATGAGGCAGTAACTCATCGAAGAAGACATTGGGAATTGGTCGCGCTATGTCGTGAATTGGCAGAAGTTAGAATTCAAGGACCATTGGATCGATTCCCAGTGGCTCAATAGTCTACGAGCTCGCCTTGTAACCAGAAGGTCTTGGGTTCGAACCCCGGTGGGTGCGTACTGCTGACGAGTCCCAAACTAGGACGAAACAGCTGTCCAGTACTCCTAGGTTTTCCAGTGGTTCTCTAAATGATGTCAGCTCGTGATTAAATCCTCCATGCAGTCAAAAGGTCAAAGCTCTAGTCAAAGAAACAATCAGTTCCAATACAAGTCACCTAGAAGGTGTAAAAACACACAAAAACAACCAATCACGTCCAATGTCACCCATCAGGAGAGATGATTAATAAACTCGTGGAGAAAGCTAAAAGCTTACTTCAAATTGAAGTATGCGCTGAAGATGTTGCCTAGTGGTGGGGCAATGTAAGCAATTATGATTCTTGTATCCACTTAGATCTCTTACATAGTTTCGTATTATCTACTTTGTTTCTATGTGCATCCTGAGTAAAACTCACTATTATTATTACAACTGTTTGTGACAACTCATCATTTTTTTACTACCCTAGTTTCATTAGCACTTAATTTTCTTGACCTGTATTACCAACTTTCACTTGTTTAGTTAAAAGTAACCTTAACCAATTGTAACTTTGTTTGACAAACTTAATGTACACATACATACAAAACAATGCATATATATTTGCGATTGTACAGCTAAGAAAATGAATTCGCCGAAAAGAGACTCTTCGCTGATCTACGTGTTTTGTTTTCAATGTAAGCTTCGCAAATTAACTAACTATCCATCCCAAAGAACACAACCACATCAAAAACTAATACATGAATTACATACCTTAGGAAAGACGGATGTACTTAAAGCCATAAATATGCTTTTATGGCAAGTTCTAAAATGCACTCAAAAATTTCTTAGATTTAGTTTATGCCGTTAGCATGGTTGATGTTTAGAAAATTGTCGTGAGAAAGGTTTTATTTTGATAAATCAGACAGTGTTATAAAGTAATATTAACTGATGACCACGTTTCGAGCACAAACTATATTGCTGTTCATAATCATATCATATGATTATGAATGGTAATAGTTTGCTCAGAATGTTCTTTGCTTCATCTTCATTTTCCATAATCAAAAATGTATCATCCATGTAGCAAAAACAGAATTCAGGTTTATCAATTACATCTTTTTTTGAAGGGCCCATTTTCTAGTTTTGGAAGAAAAATGTCGGCTAGAATTGGTTCTAGTGGCGATCCCATAGCCACACCATCGATTTTTCTGTATAGTTCCTTAATAAATAAAAAGTGAACATTCATTGTGTATTTCAAGAGAAGCTCTTTTATAAAAGCGATATATTGTGGCAAGGACGAAGTTAAAGTGTAACAACAGAAGACAAGCGTTAGGAAACGGATCATTTATTAAGGAAATCAACACATATTTACAGATTTTCGTGGACATTATTATAGATTAATAATAGCAGACAAACACAGTCTCCTGATTGGTTGTTTCTCACTGAAAGTTAATCTTTCATCTCTTTGTGGCTGTTTCTTGAATATCAGATCATCTGTATGCTAACTGGATCCGCCTACTTAAAGTCTTTGTTCTTATTTTTCTCACGATCAAGATTTGGGACATAAACATTGACGTAAATTAATGTCTACCAATTTGGCTAGCAGCCAGCTCTCACCACAGTAGAACAGGGTCAATCAGACTAGCCGAGTACTAAAACCAGCAGCAAAATCTAGATCAGCTGACCCGAATAAGATAAGAAATCTGGAGAATAGTTCAGGTATAGCACTGCATGCAGTTACGCACAACCATGCAAAGGATGGATGGGTTAAGATGACAGTTTTACAATCTAATGTCACAGGGTGAAGGGAGAGATTGATAACAATGGAAGCTTTGTTTGTCAAATCAAATACAAACACGTGTAATAGGAATGATTCAACACCTGTCCAGACAGATATTTGGAAAATTCTACTACCCCAACGAAGACAAATAGGAGAAGACAAAGAAAAATATAAAACTCAAGTTTCAAAGTCGTGTAATTATAATTGATGATGTGGTTATGAACAATAAATTGTGTTGTGCGTCGGTGGCACAGTAGTTAGGACTCTCGCCAACCATGCACATGGTCTGGGGTTCGAACCCACGCCGGCGCACACCTGATATCTATGGTCAGCCTGCAAAATTTGGGCTACCGATATCCATGCTGAAAATTCCATACTTGTACCAAAAATACAGTGTGGAATCAAGCTGTAAATCGAAAAAAAATCAAAAAAAATAAATTGTGTTCGAAACCTTGTCTCATAACACTGGTCGTCTGCTTCACATTACTTCATCACTTCTTTTAAGTAAATACCATCTGCTGTGTCAATTTAACCAGACCCCAGTGTTGCTAATTCATGTCAGAAATACTAAGAGATATGCTGAGGTTATTTAGTCTAATTTTAATTCAACTCGTGCGTCGGTGGCACATTGGTAGAATGCTCGCCAACCGCATCTCAGTTGGTTCGGATTTCGATCCCAGTCATTGACGCATTCCCTTACCTCGTTAAGCCAGGAATAAGATTGGTAAAGAAGGAAGGTTGGGCACTAGGCTAGCAACCCCATCCGGTAAAAATAAACACCACTGCTACAGAAACTTCAAGCCTATAGCTTGAAGCACCCTATATTCCACTTGGAATGTGAGGGAATAAAACAAAATTCAACTCACGTCTGAATAAAGCTTCAGCTTGTTCAAGTGTCTTCGGAAATCCATCTAACACAAATCCTTGATTTTGACATGGTTTTGACATCAGCTTTTGAATAAGCAGTCTGTAAAGTAATAATAATAATAATAATAGCCATAAATTGAAATAGATTAAGTAAATATTTTAAACTACTTATGTCATTTCAGTAGTCATTTGTGGTTATTCAAAATGTCGAATGATACTAGTTAAGGAGCTGTGACTTGAACTGCGAAACGTTCAGAAAAATCTTGTTTTGATTTTTTTTTAAGCATGCAGGGTTTATTGTCGATGATTTTAATGTGATTCACTTTGACTTGACACTGAAATTATTTTAGGAAATTCGTAAAATCTGTGGTCTGAGTATATATAACTCGATCACTAGTTAATTATATTAGTATTATTGTTCCCTTGGGTTCCTAATGCAACATAGGGATTCAGAAACAGATCACAACTTTGTTCGATTTTCTATTGTCCTCTTTAACTTTTCCCATGACTGTCCATAGTGTCTCATCTTCTTGTCACCCGATCTCCTACATGTCACCTTTGCACTGATGACCAACTAGTCGTTCGCCTCACTAGTCTAAAATAGTAAATTTAAGAAAGCGGATGCTGGAACTGAAATGTCAGGATGGTAACCTAACTTTGTTTTACACACTCTTTCTCTGATGTGTTTCCCTCTTGGTTTTTCACCCCCCCCCACGCCATCCTAAGTCGATCTGGATAAATCACCCTCAGAAAGGTTATTCACATAGGTGCCAAGCGTACGATAAACGTCCAATCAACATGAGCACCTATAAGCCAGAACTCCCTTCCCGACGACAGACTGCCAGATTGCTACTACAACTTAGAAGTACTTACTCCATAAAATCGATTTCAGAAAGTCCAGCTTACATTTAACTTTCTTCATTCAAACAGAACTCCACTATCAAAAGTATTCCTTCAATTATGATAGAACACTCTATGTTGATTAGTTAATTCACTACATCTTTTCAAGGAGAAATATTGAAATAAATTATATTGATAGAATTACGAAAATTGTATTAGAGGAATTAACAGTTTAGTTGCCGAATAATAGAAAGTACCTACAACTGACTCTCAGTCAGGTGGTGAGTACGCTTAACACGAGGTAAGATCATCGTCTCAAGGATTTAATTTAATCAGTTATGATGTTTACGCTGCTCTGTACCGTTAATGTGGTGAGAGCTGCCTTCTAGCCAAAATTGTTAGACACCAATTTACGTCAGTGTTTAAGTCCTAATTCTCGGTCATAGTAAAAAAAAGAACAAAGACTAACTGAACAACCAATCACATCAAACTTTGCGTGGGCGGATACGATTCGTACATATATGGGCTAACCTTCAAAGAAAAGGCCACAAAGACATGACATAATAACCTTCAGCAAGAAAACAACCAATCAGAAGACATTGTTTCTCTGCTAATAATAATGTACATAAAAATCGATAAATATGTGTTAATTTCTTCAATAAACGATCTGTTGCCTTGCCGTTGTCTTCTTTCGTTACACTAAAATCGGGGAATGTTAACCGCCTGTTTGATTAGCATAGCAATTGATAAGGTACACAGTAAACACTTGATTGTGATGTAATAAGCTTCAGAGGAGGAGGATGATAGATGAGTTAATTCATGGTTGTTGTCAAACAAATACACACACGCACAGTTCCAGATTGAGTCTTCGGTAAACTTATTGCAATAATTCATCGAAATAAGGGAGAATCAATATAAATAAATAAATACATTAAATCATATACATACATGACGGCGGTCAGCTTAAAACTTGGGCTGCCAAAATTTTCCGTCACTTATATTGCATCTGATTACTTGGATTTACTTTGTTTTAATCATTCAGTTATGTGTCCTAATCGTATTGTTTACTCTCGCGGTTATTTAAAACGTTTAAAACCGGCTGATTTATTAGTTTCTAATAAACTTAAGAAAAAGCTTCATGGTGGATGGCAACGAGCTTTAAAGTGTACTCCAATGAATTTGATGACTGTTCCTGTGATTATGAGCACAAATTGCAGGTCATTATCGAACAAGATTAATTACTTGGATGCTCTATTATGTTCAAATATTTATCGTGATACAGGTGTAATAACGCTTCAAGAAACTTGGCTCCACGATTCATATGATGACAATTTAATCTTACTAAATGGTTTCACTATGTACAGACAATACCGAAGTAGTTCAAGGAAGAAGCGAGGTGGTGGTGTTGCTAATTTTATCAATTCTCAGTGGTGTGTTGCCAACAACGTCTGTTTTAAATTCTCAGATGATAATATTGACTGCACAACTGTCAAATGTCGAACTAAACACCTGTCTAAATACAAATTCATTTATATCACAAACATCTATGTCACACCCAAGAAGGGAAACAAGTCCTCGTGTGATAGTCATAGGGGGATCAGCCTAACGAACATAGTCTCTAAAATCCTAGGCTCAGTAATCATGCATAGACTAAGCAGAACTCGGGAGGAACAGACAAGGGAAAATCAAGCAGGCTTTAGACCAGGTAGAGGGTGCATAGATCATATCTTCACTCTTCGACAGATTCTAAAACATAGACACACTTTTCGGCGTCCAACAATTATCATATTTAAGTGTCATATTTCTTGACTTGAAGGCGGCCTTCGACTCCGTGGATCGAAAGGTACTATGGCAATGTCTGACTGTGAAGGGAGTGCCAAGAAAGTACATCGCACTAATCAAGGCACTCTACTCAAACTCACGTAGTCGTGTAAGGGCTTATGGGGAATTGTCATCTGAATTGGTAACAACCAGTGGTGTCCGACAGGGATGTCCACTTTCCCCATTTCTGTTTAACTTCATCATAGATATGCTAATGGAAGTATCCTTAACTGAACGTAACGACTTAGGAATCGACCTGTTACCAGGTCGTATGGACTTAGAATATGCAGATGACATAGTCCTGTTAGGGGAGGATGCTGACAAAACGCAGAGTCTTCTGAACACCTTGAGCAGCAATCTTCGTATGTTTGGCATGCGATTCGCCCCTACAAAATGTAAGACGCGGATCCGAAAAGCTCGAGCTGCTTTCGCCAACTTACACCATCTCTGGCGTAGGCGTGACATCCGGCTATCAACCAAGGGACGTGTGTACTGCTCAGCTGCAGTTCGCTCCGTCCGTCCTTCTCTATGGCTCTGAAACATGGCCAATACGCGTCGAAGACATGAAAAGGTTGACTGCTTTCGATCATAGATGTCTGCGATCTCTGTCTCACGTTAGGTGGTTTCACAAGGTAAGTAATGTTGACGTTAGGCATAGTGTGTTGGGCAAAGAGGGAAAATCAATCGACGAGGCTATAAAGTTACATAGACTAAGATGGCTAGGTCACGTGCTGCGCATGCCTAACCACCGCCTCCCCCGACGGGCATTGCTAGCTGATATAGGTGCAGGTTGGAAAAGAGCCAGTGGTGGCCAAACAAAAACATGGCCTCATCAATCCATGAAATCCTTGACAGTTAAACTGAGTCAGGTAGGGAGGGAGATGCAGACTTCCTGGTTGGGGCCCTCGGGACTCTAGGAATCAATAACTGGATAAAATAGGTGACATGGCTCAAAATCGTTGTCAATGACCAGCTCAGATGTATTCAGTCTCTGTAATCTTTCATATTCCTTTCTACCATTACCCATTCTGTTTCGCTCTTATACTTGTCACACTGTATTGATTCTCTTCACTCATCTTCTTGTCTACCTCTGTGTGCTATTTGGAAGGTGGCAACTCGAACTGCTGCACTTCGGTGCCAAGTTCTATGTTGAATCCAGACAGACAGACAGACAGACCTTGTTGCAGCATATCAGAACTGTCTATGTTTACTGATGAATTCACTATTTTCGCTGCCTCCTCCTTTGCGAACTCATTGACCATAGTGACAGGCGACTTTAATACATGTGACTACAGCTTTCTCACAGTGTTAGATCATGAAAATGTCGTCAACTTTCCTACCAGACTGGATTGTTCTCTTGATCTTGCTTTTATAAATGACCGTGGAGTATACGAAACTCGTAAAATCCCCACTCTTTAACTCAGATCATTGTATTGTACGGATTTTACCTAAAATTTACGGAAAGTTACACAAGAGAACTTTTTCACACCTTTCCAAGAAAACTGTACATGGATGTTACTCTTTGGAGAATGTTCAGAATCTTAGGGGCATGCTCAAAGACACAAGGTGGGACCTGTTTAATGAAGACTCTCTTGATGACACAATCTCTAATATTGCAAGTTATCTCAAATTTTATCTTGACACCTGTTGTCCCAGAGAAACACTTTTCACTAGATTTGACCGTTTCTCCTCCCCTCAACTTAAAATGCTTCGCAGACAAAAAGAAAAGTGATATAAAATGAAGGACAATACTGGTTTGAAAAAGATTAACATCCTAATAAAATCTGAAAAGCACAGGTTGAATTCAATTTAAAACGAAAAAGTTTATATCCTGTAAAAATGCATCTAATATATGGAAACTTTTCAAAGAAGTTACTGGTGGTAAACAAATGAATTAGTATTCCTTATTGCTTTGATGTTTGCACACTAAACAAGTGTTTCACATATTCTCCCACAAATGCCAAATTTTCTAGTGTTACAAGTGTAAATGAAACCTGCTTCCCTGATTTCAATACAACTGATGTTCAAAAATATCTCCAGTCTCTGAACTAGGCAGACGGTTTTCTTAAAAAGTGTGCAGACATCCTGTGTTATCCTCTCATGGACATATTTAACGAATCTTTTTCCAGAAATATCGTGCCAGCCGTTTGGAAGGACATCAAAATTGTACCTATCCCTAAGTCGTCTACTGGAACATGTTTTAAATTTAGACCTATTGCTATTACATCTCCTTTACTAAAAGCTATGGAAAAGTTACTCTTACTTAATCTCCAACCTTCACTTAAAGCCTTTAACGATCCCAAACAATTCGCTTATAAACACAGTAGAAGTACTTTAGATGCAGTTGCTGCCGTCTTGTATCATAACATTGTCTCCAGCTTAGACAAGGATATTCTGTTAAACAAGCTTGCCAAAACTCAAACTGACCGTTGGGTTGTCAAATGGCTGCATTCTTATTTCTCAGGAAGAAAGCGGTACACTGTATGTCAAGAAAATTCGTCCACTTCTTTGCTTACTGAGGCTGATGTCCCTCAAGGCGCTGTCTGTTTTCTTTCTTCTTGCATGATCTGCCTCACTCTGATGAAATGAACTTTGTTAAGTACGCCAATGATCAAACTATTTCAACGTCTTTACAAATTAGTTTGTTTATCAGATATATCACACAGTGAAACAGTATTATTTACTGGATGACGTTTCGAACAAAATTTATTGTTCATAAATAAATAAATTTTGTTCGAAACGTCATCCAGTAAATACTAATACTGTTTCACTGTGTGATACATTTGATAAACAAACTAATATGGAATTACTTACGACCACAGTGCCCAAGTTTTACACATATGTTAATATGACTTATGGTCTTCCTGTACGAAGACTTATCAATAAACTCACTCGGCTTTCACAAACAGAAGCAAGATATGAAAATCATCGTATTTTCAATATTCGATGCTTAAAAAATCAAATCATTCCTAAATATTTACATCTACGAGCTCCAGTTCCAACGGACAGAGTAAGAAACAGAATAGAAAGCCTACAAAAATTATGCCTGAAAGAAGAGATCCACAGAATCGTTAAAAAGTTGCAACATCTCAGATATGATATTTCAACGTCTGTTAACTCCCAGCTTGACTGTGCTAAGATGAACAGCTTTCTATCAGGAGTTTAGCAAATGGTCTTCGTCTAATGGCCTTAAACTACATCCTTCCAAATGTCAGACTGCTAATGTCAGTTTCCGAGGTAAAAGAAAGTTAAATGACCAAGCTGTTGGTTCCTATGACCTTTGCTAAATTGATGATACTGATATAGAAATCAAGTCTGAAGTTAAGTAACTCGGATTAATTCGTTCCACTGACCTATCCTGATATTCCCATGTCTTAGCGATTTCTAAAAGAATATTTCGTCTGACGTTTTACATTAAGAAGTTAAGGCACTCAGGCATAACTCAACCCCTCCTCTTACATTTTGTCATCTCGTGCATCTTACCTATTCTTCTTTTCTGTACACCCTCATTCTTTCCTGGATTGCTTAAAAAAGACTATGTCATACTTCGTAGAACTCTGAAGACTGTCATTAGGGCAAATTGTATCCCATTGGGCCATATCGTTGATATGGTCATTGACGATGGGTACTTGATTTCATGTAACAAATTAGCTAAAGGAATTTTGTCAGACTGTGAGCATCCACTTTACTTAACCTCAGCTCCAACCTTGTGTCTCTTCAGGTAAAACAAAAAGTATTTTCAGAAGACTTTATGCACGTACGTCTAAGTATAAAAATTCCACTATGCCATATTGGACCGGACGTACTTTATGTGATGAAAGTAGTGTCAGGCATGAACTAACTAACTAACCTTCTTCGCACTACTAAATAAACCATTTCTTCCACCCTTACAATATCAAACTTTATTGTTATTGTATTTCTTATATTTATAATCCTCTCAATTTTTTGTTTTTATTTATTTATTTATTTTTCATAAGTGTGGACATCGTTTAAGCTGTGTTACCATTGTTAGTCTTGTATTTCCCCTCACTATACTACATCAACAGAGCATGCTAAAGTCTCCAAACTGAATCGACAATACTGTTTGAAACAAACTCACTGTTACTATTATTATTATTATATTTAATGATCTCAATTCGTGCTTCGAATATTTTTGACTTTATATCGTAAACGTGGACAAGTTCCTCTGGTTACTTTTGATTTAATTTTTAATTTTATTTATATTTTAAGTAAATTAGATGCAATATTGTGACAAATGCTGAGAATTCCATTCTGTATTATAAGTACTGTTTTTTGGAATAAAGCAGATTATTACTATTATATATATATATATATATATATCGAGAGAGAAATGCTACAAGTATAAATTACCTAATCAATGTCTCGTCGTTCAGTTTACCAGTTTCATCAGTATTTTCTCTTAATTGTTCTAAGCGTTCTTGACAATCATTAACCAGCAATTCAAGTTCATCTTCTGAATTCCATACGGGCGATGGACTGATTGGATAATATTCTAAATCGGCTAATGTTTCTCCAACACTCGACTTTCTTATCGAAGTAATTTCATCTATAAGTAGACGGAGAGAAACAGAAAGGAGAAAACATTGTTTGTAATTTTTTTGTAAAAAAAAAAATAAAAGAAACACACCTGGAAATTCATTACATTGCCTATCTAAATTTAATATTTTTAGGTGACTGAAAGAGTTATATAGAAGTAAAATGTAAAACTTTGTAGATTGGTATACAACCGAAAATGTACATGTTGCTTTAACGCTGAAAATACTTCCTAGGTAGACAATAGAAGGTTCAGGGTTAAACCATTCAGCTCAGGGAACACAACAATGCTGAATAACAAACTCCACCTGAACAACAAATCCTCCCACTAAATCAAAACATTGATCTACATTGTAGCTTAACAGTTAACAAACAGTTCAGATTGGAAACAATTAATGACCAATTATTCCATTTGTAATTCTCTTGTCTAATTTAATGGTATAACTCCACTCTGAGATGAATTTTCACCTTGGTACCTTTTTCATAATCTTGATCCATATAGTTGAAAGTATCTCTTCTCTGACTAAATCATCCTAGTAGGGCATCAGAATGGCCTACTCATACTATTCAGTAGTGCTGTTATAGCACAATACAGCAGTAGTGGGCAGTAGAACTTGAGTTTTGTCCAAAAGGGTGCAATAACACTATCCTGCGTGGTAACAAAAAGGTGGAAGTGGAGCAATAAGAAACGCGATCATTGAACATCTGATCGATAATGATCACCCTATCTCTACAACCTCCGCCTCTTAAGTCATCTACAAGGAAGAGAGTAATTTACCCAAATCCCTACGTACCCGAATCATCTGTATGACTGAAGCTTTCTTTGGCTATCGAAACAGAAAAGCCAGATCTCTGTGTACAGAAAAAGTTCGTTCAACTCCTCCCCTCCAACTTTCACGGTCTTAATCCATCTATGCTAATGTATGGTAATCCCTAATCATATTTTGGCTCTGCCAATTTTTCATTTTGTCTATTCAGTTTGTATTCTCTACCTTTATTACAGCAATTGTTATTATTACTATTCTCACTTTGAACTGTCCCCGGTATTATTTCATTCGTTCCACTTACCATTCTAAATCAATTCTTTTTTACAGCGTTAAATTCTATGCTATCAAATTTATTACTTAACGTTTTTATTTTATTCGATTTGTCTACTAATCCTATAATTGCACACCCCTTTTCAAGTTCTATCCATCCTATGAATTATTCTTTATATGACATTAATTTGCTTTGCCACTTGAAATCTAACAATGATTATAGTCACAAACATTGATATAAGAATAAAATTTGTACAGTGTGGTAAAGTGTAATTCCATTATGGGTAAATTTTTGTTATGATAAAGTCTCACAGTGTTATGCAGTAATGTTTACTGATGGCCACGTTTCGAGAGCAATTTATTGTTCATAATCATATCAAGGTATTCACACGACTTCCTAACTTTATTTATATAGTGGATTTCGCCGATGATATATGTCTGATTTCCCACAAACTGGAAGATATGCAAGTGAAAAGTAACAAGTTGGCAGAACAAGCATCAAAGATAGGACTTCAAGTGAACATAGATAAAACAGAGGTGATGAAGATTCCTAGCCAAAATCAACAACAACAAGAGACAACAATCAGCATAATTGGGAAGAACCTGAAAGAAACAGCCTCCTTCACCTACCTGGGAAGCATCGTCTCAACTACAGGTGGAACTGACGAGGACATAAAAGCCAGAATCGGAAAAGCAAGACAAGCTTTCATTACTCTCAAATCTGTGTGGAGGTCAACAGCACTCACCATCAAAAATGACATCCGGATTTTCAACTCCAATGTGAAGTCAGTGCTACTATACGGATCGGAGACTTGGCGAGTCATAAAGAGCATCTCAAACAAACTTCAGACCTTCATTAACAGCTGTCTTCTCTCAATACTCAAGATCAGATGGCCAGAAAAGATCACCAACAGGGATCTCTGGGAGCGAACCAACCAAGAACCGATTGTGCAACAAATAGGCAGGAAGAAATGGGGGTAGATTGGCTGGCCATACTCTGAGGAAACCATCAAGTAACATCACTAGACAAGCCATCACTCGAGTGGAACCCGAAAGGGAGGCGGCGAGTTGGTCGTCAGTGCAAGGGTGACTTGGAGGAGGTCATGCGAGGAGGAGATGAAAGCATGTGAACAGACCTGGAGCAGGGTGAAAAAGTTGTCAGAAAACCGAAGGCAATGGAGGTGCGCAGCTGAAGCCCAATGTTCCTCCAGGAACTAAAGGATACAATAATAAATAATAAATTATTTTTCACTTGATTTTCACTTGATTTGATTGGTAGTAGTATTTTCCATATTTCAGGTATGAGTGATGAATCATTCCTATTGCATGTGTTTGGTGTAGACTCGATGAACAAGTATTCAGTCACAAACATTTTACTTTTTAATTGCATTCCATACTATTATTATTATTGTTTTACGCATTCACACCTATGATTCAATTCCTTGACCGGATATAACTTCTTAAAAACCATATATATATACGATTTTACAACTTGATGATAAATATGTTGAAAAGAGTCTTTTCGCTGAATCACTTGTTTTGATTTTCTATTTGTTAAATGATGTAGTTATGGCAAAATATATAAATCATACATAGATATCACGATCAAATGGCCTTGAATCAACCAATCAGACTGTTCAGTATTAAAAATGGATGCTTTTAGAAATCTTCGTTGAACGTTTCACCCTTAGCTAAATCATAACCGTGGCTTAATCTTATTGTCACCTTAACTGTAAATCATGGTGAAATTGGTAACGAAAATTATGAAAAACATCCACTTTGCTACTACCAAGGGGTGCCGCCAACACTTATACACCTCATCCAACAGTTGTACGACAATGCTGGATGCCAAGTAATCCACAACAGGAAATTCATGGAATCCTTCGAAGTGAAGACGGCAGTAAGACAAGGCTGGCTGTCTACTTACCATCTTCAATGATTTCCTGATTGTAGGCGGTAGACTGTATATTGCGACAGACAAAGAGCGGCCAACGAGAAAACAGGCATAACATGAACCCACACAAAAAACTCGGAGGATCTGGGTGTCACCGATGACGGATTTATGTCTGATTTCCCACAAACTGGAAGATATGCAAGTGGAAAGCAACAAGTTGGCAGGTGACGCATCCAGATAAGAGAGGACTTCCTTCAGGTGAACATGGAGAAAACAGAGGTAGGTGATGAAGACTCCTGGTCAACAACGACAGTAACTACAACAGACAGCAATAAACCAGCATGAATGAGAGGAGTATGAAAGAAGCCACCTCCTACATTTACCTACCTGGGAAGCATTGTCGTTTCAACTACTGACGGACGGAACTGATGAGGATATCAAAGCCAGAATCGGAAAAGCAAAACAAGCTTTCATTACTCTCGAGTCTGTGTGGATATCAACAGCATTAAGCATTAGGAATAAGATTCGGATTTCCAATTCAAATGTGAAGTCAGTGCTAATAATTATACGGATCGGAGACTCGGTGTGTGAAGAAGGCCACCTTGAACAAACTACAGACCTTCATCAACGTCTGTCTTCGCTCAATACTACTCAAGATCAGATGGCCGGCCAGAAATGATCAGCAGTAGTGAGGGATCTCTGGGAGCGAACCAACCCAGCAGGGACCAAATGTCCAACAAAAATGCAGGAAGAAATGGAATCGGACTGGCTGGTCATAATCTGAGAAAACCATCAAGTGGCATCACACGTAAGGGCATCTCTCGACTGGAAACCGAATAGGAAGCGGCGAGTTGGTCATCAGTGCGAGGGTGACTTGTAGGAAGAGGTCATGCGAAAAGGAGATGAAAGCATGTGGATAGACGTGGAGCCAGGTGAAAACGTTGGCAGAGAACTGAATGCAATGGAGACGTGAGGCTGAAGCCCTATATTCCTCTAGAAATTGAAGGAGACAATGATAATCCACTTGTATTGCTGAGTGATCCGACTGATTAGTTTAAGGTCATTTGACCCAGGGATCTTTCATTTCTGCTCCAATATCAGATGGTCAAAAAAGATCACCAACAGGGATCTCTGGGAGCGAACCAACCAGGAACCGATTGTGCAACAAATAGGCAGGAAGAAATGGGGGTGGATTGGTTGGCCATACTCTGAGGAAACCAACAGGTGACATCACTAGACAAGCCATCACTCGAGTGGAACCCGAAAGGGAAGCGGCGAGTTGGTCGTCCAAGGGTGACTTGGGGCAGGTCATGTGAAGAGGAGATGAAAACATGTGGGCAGACTTGGAGCCCTATGTTTCTCTAGGAATTAAAGGAAATAATAATAATACCACTTAATCTCTCCCTGCACTACTTAATATTCTTTCAGAGAAAAATGCACACAACATACTACTTACTGTAGAATACACCACATTACAAAAAAAAACATACGCAGAATTGTTTGTATTTACCTCCAGTTAACGTATTTTTATCAACATCATAATCATAACTATCCGCTGTTGTATTCACTGGATGAGAAACTTTTGTTGACCAGTTTAAAGTTGATGTGAAGTCTAAAGCTGTAGTACCTCCAGTTGCTAAGGCTTTAGTTTCATTTCCAACTAAAGATGAACGGCTGATACCAGAATTTCTTTGGGGTAAAATTTTCTCAGTTGATTCAATATCAGCATCAGAGACTAATTCAGTTGCTAAACGCTCTTCTTCACGAATTGCTAATAAATGTTCATATGCTTTGATTGGTTCAAGCTTGTTAAAATGAGCCATAAAATTAATGAGAAAATGGTCAGAAATTAATTGACAACGGGGAATAATATATATTCACAGCACTGGATACTATTGAACACAAAAGAATAAACTCTATGGGGGAAAAAACGGATTTCAATCATCACGAAATCGTTGCTTTTTTTATAAGATAGAAGACGGGAGTAAATATTGGCATACAAATAATAGACTTATTTATAACTTATAATTTCATTCTTGTAAGGAAATCATTATTAACTGAATTGTGATCAAACAACACTATGATTCAAAATCAATCTCATTGTTTGTTTGTCCCAAAAGACTTTCCAAGCATTGGTTTTGTAGGGAATTTGTTTCATTGGATGGAAGATTTCATCATCAGCTGGCAATAGTTACAGAACCATTGCAAAAAGGCAAGCTGTGAGTAATAGACAGTTGTTTGGTCCTAGTTTGGGACGCTTCGGCAGTTCGCACCCACTGGCCAGCGTGCGAACCCAGGATCTTCTAGCCACAAGGCTAGCGCGAGATTGTAGACCATTCCAGTAGGCACTGGAATCAAACCCGATCCAATGACCAGCCAGACGATGAATTCTAACTACTACCAATTCATGACATAGTGTGACCACTTCGCAATATCTTCTTTGATGAGTTACTGCCTCATCTTCAACCTACTGTAATTTGTTTGAATGGCTTTGATTTCATTGTCTCTTTCCTTTCAGAAGAGTATATCTGACCTGATAATACGATTTTTAAGAACTCTGATTTGTCTGGCGGTCTGGCTGTCTATCTGCCTATCTGTAGGTTTGTGTATCTTCATTTCAATGTTCATTTAAACAGACAATCATATAAAGAGTCTATGTAATGTAAGAAATAGCTACTTTGTCTACAACACAATAGTTCCAAGTTTATTGTTGATATTATCTACCTACTTGCCAATCTCCTTAAAGCAATGTGATATATGGCAAAAATATTCATTCAGACATCTATTAAACACAAAATAATTGAACAAAGAATATCCTTTACGATAATTTCCTCTTCTAGTTCTACATAGAATATTCCAGAATGGTAGTCATTAACAATATTAGTGTTTTTTAAATAATATCGATTTGTTAAGTAAGATCACAATGGAATTACAGTTCAATAAAGATGCTTAAATTATAATAATAATAATAAAGACATAGTGGCAAACAGAATATCAACTAAAATTAAGGAAATTTCTACAGCCAATCGAGGATCATTCAACCGTAGATGGTTACCGGGGAATAATCTCGTTGACTTGGAATATGCAGACGATATAGTCCTTCTAGGCGAAGACGCTGACGAAATGCAGAGTCTTCTAAACAGCCTGAGCCGCAATCTACGAATGTTTGGCATGCGATTCGCTCCCGCCAAATGCAAGATGATGTTACAGGACTGGACTACATCGACGCCTAGTTTAAAAATAGGAAGTGAAGTGGTAGAGCACGTTGACCGCATCACTTATTTGGGAAGTACCATCAGCCCCAACGGGTTGATCTCTAACGAAATCTCAGCAGGAATACAAGGGGCTCGTTTCGCATTTGTTAGTTTACGCCGACTCTGGCGTAGACGAGATGTTCGACTATCGACCAAAGGGCAGGTGTACTGCTCATCAGTCCGCTCCGTCCTCCTTTATGGCCAGCTGTGAGACCTGGTCACTGAGAGTGGAAGACATGAAAAGACTAGCTGTCTTTGATCATAGGTGCCTGCGCTCTATTTCCCGTGTAAAGTGGCATAATAAGGTGAGCAACATGGAGGTTAGGCGTAGAGTTCTAGGTAAACAGGGGAAATCAATCGACGAAGTCGTGAAGCTACATCGACTGAGATGGTTAGGACATGTGTTACGTATGCCAAGCCATCGCCTCCCTCGACGAGCAATGTTAGCTGACATAGGGTCAGGCTGGAAAAAAGCTAGCGGCGGTCAAACAAAAACTTGGCATCAGTCAATGAAATCCACAACAGTTGGTCTAAGCCACGTAGGAAGGTGTAGACTTCCAGACTGGGGTCCTCGGGACGGCAAAAATCTATGGTTGGAAACAATTGGTGACATGGCTCTAAATCGTTCTCAGTGGCCAGCGCAGATGCATCCACTCCTTGTGACTTATGATCTCCAATGAAACTGTTTTGTATTTCTTTATTACTCCTTTGTCTCACACCTCTGCTCACTGTTTCTAGTATGCTTTTCTTGTACTTTCTTCTCTTGCTTCGCGTGCTACACGGAATGTGGCGACTTGAACTTCCGCACATTTGTGCAAAGTTCTATGTCGAAAACAGACAGACAGACAGACAACCGTAGATGGCCAGGGTAAGTATAATGTCTGAACTAGCTTCTTTTGATCGCATAAGTTAGGCTTCTTAATGTGGATCCCAACGGCCAGCCTCAGCAGTATTGAGTAGACGAGCTCTTAAGACGAAGTTAAGATTTGTTGGTATGCAGTAAATGACTTTGTAAGTCTGGTTAACATCAATCTTGTGTTGTGTACCCACAAGGTGAGATAGAAGAGCCCTGTGTGAATAGATTTTATTTGTCCTTTACTTGATTTAACCACGCAAGATGATGTTCAGAAATCCGACGGGAAACACGCCTAATTGTACGGCCTATGTAACTGGCTTATTCCACTGGAGCAGTTAAACTGTTAGATACACATGGAAGAGGCGAAATTAGGCAGTTCATCTTTTACCTCCGAACGCAAAAGGGAAGTGGGCGGTTTCAAAGACACAGCGTAATTTAGCAGCAAGGGATGCTCTTTTTACCTGATTTCTAAGGCTCTGTGTTAGTCTCTCATCCAATCACTCCTACTATGATGGTAACAACCGCGTTGACTTCTAGTCACTTGGTGTTTGTGTCCTTATAACATTTGTAATTTTTACAACTCTTACGCAATTCCGTACCCTCCTTTGTTTGTCTGTGCATCCTAATCACAAACAACTCATTCAACTATTCATCTGATTACGTAACTGTACTACGTGTATTCAAATTCTTTTATGTATTGATTAGCATTAATATCTACGTTTCTTTGACAACACGTCACCACCCACTGCCCTAGTTACAGTTTGATTACTCACTATAGTTTTGAAATGTCTTGACGACAATAACTCTAACTTATTTTCATTCTTATCTGACAAACCTAATGTACACGCACATACAAAAATAAGTATGTATAATTCCGATTGTAAAGTTAAGTGGATGAATTCACCGCGAACTAAGGAGAATTTCCCTCAACTACGTGTTTTGTTTTCATTACTGTGAATCAATTCAAAGAATACACTTCATTATAAATCAATAAAGTAGTTACAATCTAGGCAACCTGTTTGTGTGCATAAATTTTTCCATCAAGGAGTTAGATAGTCACAATGGGAACAGGTTGATGACAAAGTCAATAAATGACAAAGATTTTAATTTGCAATTAGTAGTGTTCTCTGATCTGGTTGGTTTAGTTGCGTAGCTTTCGTCGTCCCCCTGTTGGACAACATCTTCAGCGCAAGTCTTAGCGTAAAGCGAATTGATTTAAATTTTTCATGAGTGATAGAATTGCGTCTCCCGGTAACTATTTTCACATCTGTCTTAATCACTTTCCATTCACTTGGATTTTAAACTTTCTGGTCACATGATCTACTTTTTATTAGTTGGTATATTTGGTCTATATTAAAATGCTAGTTTATCGCATACTCGTTTGAGTACCAGGGTTCTAGGAATTCTCTGACGGCACGTCTGGTGTTTTCTCTGTTTAAAATTTTGAAATTATCCCAATCAAATCGATGTCCATAATTATCTACATGCATTGATATGAAACAGGAATATATATATCGTGTCTTTTCACGGCTGATTTGTGTTCCGAGATTCTGATTCGAAGGGGATGCCCACTTCGACCACCGATGTAATGCCTGTTACAGTTCATACAATTTATTTTTTTTAAATGGTATAAATTTTGTCTTCTTTTTTTGGTGTATCTTTTCGTCTGCACAATATCGAATTGAGTGACTGTGTGCTATATCTATTTCAAACGGTCTTAATATTCTAGCTGTTACTTCAAAGATGTCTTTGATATATGGTAGGATGAATTTTCTTGTGGTCTTTGATGACTGTTCCTTGTTAGTGTTGTGATTCGAGTTTAAACACTTTTTGATGAAATTTTACAGATATCCATTCTTTTTGAAGACCGTTAGTAGGTTTTGCCTACGCCTTGCTGACTGGTAGGTGCCAACTGGCACAAAACCTAGGTCAAAGCAAGGCTTCCTTTGACCAACTGCCTGTAATCATCAGAGTGCACCGTGACGGCGAGTTCACTCAGTGGCATGTTGGGCACATTGCAAAACTAACTGACTGATAAGATTCAGTTTGTACGAAACAGAGGATTAAACGCGTATGGCACTAGTTAATGTCACCATTTAGTATTCTATCATAATATATATATTTACGCTTGTATTCAAACATCAGTATAAATAAAAAAAATTAAATTAATAAATAAATCTTTAGATACATACCAAGTTTCTAATACACTCGAATAATAAACCATTCAAGTGTATGTGGTGTAAACGATAAACTTGACAGAGTTGTTTAGCTAGTGTTGTCTTGCCAACACATGGTGGACCAAGAATACATATACGCAATGGCTGTATACACAGAAAATAAACAAGAGAAAAGAAAAGAAAGATATATGTGGTATTAGTGAAACAAATTTACAACTGTATTACAGTTTAACAGTTATGCGAATATTATTCCCTTGGATTTCGAGGGGAACATAGAGGGGGGATTAAACAACATATCGCCACTTTGTTCTCTTTCCTACTGTCCTCTTCTTCTGTGCTCATAATTGCCTGTAATCTCTCATCTCCTCCATGTCACCCCACTGGGGTGAGACGACCCACGCGTCATTTCCCACTGGGATTCCACTCGAATGATGGCCAGCATTGAAGGCAGTGTCATTCAATGACCTTCTCAACGTATACCCAATCCATCTCTATTTTCTCTTGCAAATTTGTTCCACTGCAGAGTTTCTTGTTAATTCTTTCTGATTGGCAGGCAGCACATTTGATCTTCAATATGAAGTCAGAGAAGGCGGCGGTTGGTGAAAGTCTGCAACCTGCTGAAAATCCTTTTTGATGACACACACTGGCCAAATAACTGACCTGTATAGAAGGATCAACACTTGACGTTGGTGTTGAAAATCTGAATCTTGTTCTGTATTCTGAGTGAGTGCAGAAGATTTCCAAACTGGTTTCAGGTTGATGATGAAGGTGTATCTTGCCTTGCCTCTCCGATTTTCGATAACTCTGACATCTTTATCTGTTCTGCCTGCGGTTAAAAAGTATCTTCTGGGTAAGTGAAGGAAGTCACCTCTGTTTTTGTTTTATCTTTATCACCTCCATCTTCCCTATGTTCAATTTGGAGTCCTGTCTTCGCTGCCCGACTCGCCTCTTCTTCCAATTTGTTGACTTTTGCCTGTAAATCTTCAAGTCTGTGTGACATCAAAACATAAACCATTCCCAACCAAAATCCAAACCTTCCAGAGTTTTCCTTATCCGTCCAACGTATTTCAACGTCTTTTACCTTCCTGTACACACTCTGACGCATAACCCAGTTGACTCCAATTAAAAATGTCATCGGTAATATTAGGTAGCCTTTCCTTAATTCTGAATTCTCTTCAAACGCCTCATTGAGCTATCCGTTATGCATCGCCTGATATGTGTCATTGTCATTCAGCCAGCTGTTGAATGAGGTTAATAAAGACTTGGGTTTGAACAAAGTAAGAACTACAGTTTTAGCAGAATAAAACGGTACCATCAGTGTTTATTTCGTTGCCTTCTCGTCAGCTGCTTACATGGCAAAGACATTATTAAATATATCTACAAACAACAATTTTAACATACTTGCACAGAGTTAAGTTTAAACAAAAATCAATCGATCAATATACTCATACACTAAATATATATATATATAAATATGCAATATTAACCACTATTCCGAACAATAATAATCAAACACAATGGAAACTTTTAGCATTTCACATTATTATTATTGATTATTATTGTTCGGAATAGTGGTTAATATTGCATATTTATATATGTATATATTTTTAGTGTATGAGTATATTGATCGATTGATTTTTGTTTAAACTTAACTCTGTGCAAGTATGTCAAAATTGTTGTTGTAAATATATTTAATAATGTCTTTGCCATGTAAGCAGCTGACGAGAAGGCAACGAAATAAACACTGATGGTACCATTTTATTCTGCTAAAACTGTAGTTCTTGCTTTGTTCAAATTCATTAAGGGAAATAAATGTATGAAAGACTTGGGTATTCCACGCCGTAGTGTTGAAATAGTTTCCAATTAACTCCTTGGAGACCTTTTCGAAGTCGATGAACTTAAGGTGAAGGAGTATGCAAAATAAAACGAGAAAAGCAATTCTCAGATGCTGTAGTTCTAAGAATTTATTAATTTCAGTTATGACAAAATATCAATTTGAGAATTGTTGAAAAAATGGCGACACCGTACAGTTATATCCTTTTAAATTTGTACTCTAAGGATATACACAGTCTTGAATTCATTGGAAATTGATGACGTGACCATTAGATCACGAGACGAACATGTCTAGTATTCATTCACTGCGTTTTATTCAAATGAGTTTTAAGGTATATTGCTTACTATAGACTGGTTTTGAAATGGATTTGTTGTCTTAAAGAGAAGTTATGACCACTTATGTCCACTAATTCGTGTGTGTGCAGAAACTCGTTAATGAGTTGGTGTGGTGAAAGTGCTGCTATATTATGGCTTCAAAAAGGCTTAAAATTAATGGGGCATCATGTTAAAATCCAACTGATGTATATATATATATATATTATTATTATTATTATTGTATCCTTTAGTTCCTAGAGGAACATAGGGCTTCAGCTGCGCACCTTCATTGCCTTCGGTTTTCTGACAACTTTTTCACCCTGCTCCAGGTATGTCCACATGCTTTCATCTCGTCCTCGCATGACCTCCTCCAAGTCACCCTTGCACTGACGACCAACTCGCCGCCTCTCTTTCGGGTTCCACTCGAGGGCTTGTCCAGTGATGTCACTTGATGGTTTCCTCAGAGTATGGCCAACCCATCTCCATTTCTTTCTGCCTATTTGTTTCACAATCGGTTCCTGATTGGTTCGCTCCCAGAGATCCCTGTTGCTGATCTTTTCTGGCCATCTGATCTTGAGTATTGAGCGGAGACAGCTGTTAATGAAGGTTTGAAGTTTGTTTGAGATGCTCTTTATGACTCGCCAAGTCTCTGATCCGTATAGTGAGTAGCACTGACTGACTTCACATTGGAGTTGAAAATCTGGATCTTATTTTTGATGCTGAGTGCTGTTGACCTCCACACAGATTTGAGAGTAATGAAAGCTTGTCTTGCTTTTCCGATTCTGGCTTTGATGTCCTCGTCAGTTCCGCCTGTAGTTGAGACGATGCTTCCCAGGTAGGTGAAGGAGGTTGTTTATATATATATATATATATATATATATATATATATCAGTAAAACATTTTAGATAATTCCATTTTATGGAGGATTTCATTATGAGCTGACATCAGTTAGAGAACCACTGTAAAACCTGGGAGTACTGGACAGTCAGCTGTTTCCTCCTAGTTGGAGACCCTTCATTAGTACGCCCCCACACTGACGGGTTCGAATCCAGGACCTTCTGGTTACAAGGTTAGCGAGCTCGTAGACCATTGAGCCACTAAGAGCCGATCCAATGGCCTATGAATTCTAACTTCTGCCGATTCACGACATAACGCGACCATTTCGCGATGTCTTCTTCAACCTGCTGTATCCTACTGGTCATGGCTTCCCAATAGAACCCCAGGTCACTGCCTGAATACAGCTAGTCCCTAGAGAGCATAAGATCAATTTTCAGGTAATGGTTTTGTAGGTATTTTGTTTCTTGGCACTGAGGATTTCAGCTGTCCAGCTGTACTCCCAGATTTTCCAGTGGTTCTCTAACTAATGTCAGCTCATGATGAAATCCTCCATACAATCAAACAAAATTCCTACAAAACCAATACTTTAAAATTCCATTTTAGTTAATTTTATTTTAAATATCGCACACTGATGCAGTATTAACTGAACATATCCCTCAGCTTTTTTTACACATAAAAATTCAACAGTAGACGGAATCCAATTCATCTCTGAGTTAGAAAACGAATAGGGTGAGTTGGCCATGCTAGACTAGACTGTAGAATGAAAGGAAAACAAGATGGTGGGTGATTACATTCTAGGATTTATAAGAAACCGACACAAACTAATAAACACTTAGATTTTAATTCATCCCATCCAGAATCTGTAAAGATAGGTTTAGTTAAATGTCTATATTAATCTAACCAAGAGTCTAACTAGTAAGCCAAAAGATTTAAATAATGAAATTAAACAAACAAAGGAAATATTACTAGTTAATAACTACCCACCAGAATTAATTCAGAGATATATGAAGAACCATGAGGATGGCGTTTAAACCAACCAACTCTCTCGGAGATAAACTTTGTCGGCTTAAGGACCCAGTAGAACTAATTAAGAAAAATAATATAATTGACCAAATACCACGTAATGTCTGTGAGGTCAATTAGATAGGGATTGGGGGTCAACTAGATTATTGGTACATAAAAATTTAGCTAGACGTACAGTGACTTAACTCGGAAAGTTGAATAACCTAGGTAAGTAAAGCCCACCTAATGCACAACCTTCACCTGGATGTAATCACCAAAATAGTTTGTGTGGGACAAGGTGAGAGTATTGAAAAACAATATAGTTAGGGAGACAGAGAGAGAGGTAATTCACCGAAACTTTGTTTATCACCGAGTCAACATCACATACGTGCAATCGAAATGACTCAACGCAAACAACAACAAGGGGAAGATGGCGAGGGAGTGACATAGAAAGACAGAATATATATGTCTATAAGACAAATTGTGAAACTACATTAGTTTGTTTATTAGATGTTTCACACAGTCTGTGAAACAGTATTATTATTTACTGGATGATGTTCCGAACAAAATCTATTATTCTTCATAATCATATCATCAATTATAATCACACGACTTTGAAACTTGAGTTTTATAGTTTTCTCTGTCCTCTCCTATTTGTTGTCGTAGGGGTAGTAGGATTTTCCAGATATCTGGGCCGACGGGTGTTGAATCACTTCTATTACATGTATTTGCAGTTGATTCGATAAACAAAGCTTCCATTGTTATCAATCTCTCTCTCCCTCCACCCAGCTGTTACATTAGATTTTAAAACTGTCATCTTATCCCATCCATCCTATTGTATGGTTGTGTGTAACTGCATGTAATGCTATAGCTGAACTAAGTAGTACCAAGGTAAATCTAAGACAGGAAGTGATACGCATAAAAGAAGCCTTGAAATTTAACAATTACTCGGATAAATTAGTCAGGAAATATGTAGGGAAATGTAAAAATAAAACAAATAATGATAGTAGCGATAGTGATAATAATAACAATATTAATGACGACACCAACAATAAGGCGTCTAAATCACCAGTAGTAATTCCATACAAGGAAGGAACCTCAAAAACTTTACACAGAATTCTTAACAAGGCAGGAAAAAAATTGGCTGGAATTCAAACCATCCACAAACTCAATTAGAAACAAGCTTTGTCGGTTAAAGGATCCTGTAAAGTCTTTGCAGATGCAGTCAGACTAGTCGAGCATTAAAACCTAGCAGCAAAATCTAGATTAGTTGACCCGAATAAGATAAGAAATCTAGAGAATAGTTCAGCTATAGCATTACCTGCAGTTACACACAACCATACAATAGGATGGATGGGATAAGATGACAGTTTTAAAATCTAATGTAACAGCTGGGTGGAGGGAGAGAGAGATTGATAACAATGGAAGCTTTGTTTATCGAATCAACTGCAAATACATGTAATAGAAGTGATTCAACACCCGTCGGCCCAGATATCTAGAAAATCCTACTACCCCTACGACAACAAATAGGAGAGGACAGAGAAAACTATAAAACTCAAGTTTCAAAGTCGTGTGATTACAATTGATGATATGATTGTGAAGAATAATAGATTTTGTTCGGAACATCATCCAGTAAATAATAATACTGTTTCACAGACTGTGTAAAACATCTAATAAACAAACTAATATGGAATTATTTACCACCACAATACCCAAGTTCTGTGCTTGCATTAATTTTAAATAACCGCCAACACCTTTAACAGAGTGAGGTTGAACACAGCGATAGCTCACTGACCTAAATAGCTAACGTCGACTTATAAGCCTCACTTTCAAACCCTCCTCATATCCCCTCCACCCTGTTGACGTAACCAATTGAGTAGTGTCATAACATACTGACTAACTTCATTTAAACGCAGAATTTTGTGCAGAAGTGCAGCATGTCAAGTTGCTCAAACTTCACATAACACACAAAGGTACAATAAAAACAAAACTCAAAGGGACTATGACGAATAAAAATGTAAGTGAGAAAGAATAATTACACGGAAAATCCTGAGAACCTAAAGAATCAGCAAGCATTGAAAGAGTGAGTCCCTCTGCGCCACAGATAGTGAGTGATCTTAGCCATGTGTCATCAATAATTTCAAACCACTAGTTCTTAGAGTGTCGAAAAACGTAACTAAGCAGTTTACAGCTCCCTGCACGACTCAAACTGACTGTCAAAGACTGAACAGATCTGTGTCATCACTCCTTAGTGTGATTTCTGTACAGTAGTAGTTAGAGTATGGGCAGTTGAACATCCTTTAACTAAAACTGAACAATCACGCTGTACGTTCCTTGAATTTGTCTACCTTACAAAAGGAATGAATGAAAAGTCATAGTTACCAGTGAATAATTATATATTTAATAAGTGAAATCCATTTGAAAGAAGGTTACTCACCTTTAAATTATGCTCTTCAATAAATTCGTTGACTAGCTGGGAGATATAATTTGGTATTCCACTATCAGATACCCATTGAAATTGCATGTCTTCTTTAATTGCACCAGGTTCAATACGAAGATTCAGTGTAAGCAAATCACTTATTTCTGGCTAATAAGAAAGGGATATGAATGCATTATAAAAATGCTAACCAAACCTTCATTTACACATACTTTAAACTTTCTGGTTGGTTTATACACAACGTGAAATTTTTGTAATAGTTGAAAGAATTACTACTAATAACGAGTATTACCGCCAAATAGATGGAGTTGCTATGGTTTCTACCCACCCCCCGCCCCCCCCCGATTGATTCCTTATTAGCTGACATATTTCTATCTAAATTGGAAAATGGTCCTTTAAAAGAGATACTAAACCAACTCGATTATTATTATTGTCGATATGTTGACGATACCTTTATTATTTGTAACAATAATTTGGATAAACAACACCTGCTCCAAGTTTTTAATTAGGTACATCCAGCAATTAAAAAAAACTTGTGAAGAGGAACTCCAAGGTAGTATTCCATTTCTGGATGTTCTTCTTACAAAAAGAACAGACGGTACCTTAAATAGAAACATCTATAGGAAAGCGACGTGGAATGGACAATACACCCAGTTCCAGAGCCTCATACCTATACAATATAAGCGCAATCTAATTCGTTGTCTTAGTCATGGATGGAATTAGACGCATATGTACCGACGATTGTATTGAAGATGAAATAAGAAATCTTGCAAACGCCTTGCTACAAAACGACTATCCTAGCAACTTTGTAAAGAAGTATATCTATGAAACTACACATAAAACTAAGCGAGACACAGTAAGTAAGAAAAAGCTTTACTTAAATGTACAATTCAAAGGTGACATATTAAACCGTAGATTAACGAGATCAATTGAAAGAACTTTTACTGCCGCAAAACTGCATGTCAATTTCTCAACCAAACCGATATTGACACTGTGTATTAAAGATAGATTACCCAAAATGGCGACATCAATGTGTGTATATAAATGCAACTGCTCCTGTGGAGCTACTTATATAGGTTGTACCCAAAGTAATTTATCTTTACTCCTGTTTGGCTTGGGAAAAGAGCAACCAAATCATTAAATAGGGCAATTCTGTCTCATTTGGTGGATAGCGAACACAGCATCAAAGTAGATGAGTCACTTACAGTCGTGTATCGAGTACCGAACAATCACCCCAAAGGCACACGATTACGCCTCCTAGCCATAGCTGAGGCTTTAGAGATTAATAGAGAGAGACCAGACCTATGTGTACAGAAAAAACCCTGGCCCACTATAAGGTCACCAGGATCATAATTTTTCGTACTATTATTATCATTATTATCATTTTGTGATACTATGTCTTTATTATCCATTTCTCCACCCAGCTTATTTCACCCCATCGTTACCCCTAATTTTTGTCAACCTTTATGATTTTATACTAAGCCTACCAATTCTGTAACATCTTATTACAATTTACAGTTTAACCTCTTTATTTTATCATTAGACATTATCGGTTAGCCCTCACATTCAGTGTCCCCTTTGTTAATGTGTGTTTGTATGTATTTTGTGGTTATCACATTTCTCTCACCTCAGTGACGACACTTGTATTCTGTTAACTATAAAACAACATAATATCACCCAATTGTTCATTCACATTTCATCACATTTTTTTAAGATAAGATAAGATAATAGCTTTATACCAAAACAGTACTCGTGATACAGAATGGAATTCTCAGCATTTTACTACAATATTGCATCCAGTTAGTACATTAACACTAAATAAAGTTCTACATAGATTAAAGTTATCTCAGTCAGTTTTGACAACAACATATTAGTATGTCGGTAGCAAAGCCAAAATAAAAGTGTTTGAAGGTGTTAGAAAAGTAGATACTACTAGCATATTTACTGGCGTAAGCGATAGCAAAATGGTCGAAATATACAGAGTGTGAAAGAACGAACAAGAATGTTTTAAGTAGAGTTTGTAAGGAAGAGAGAAACAAAACAGCACATAACAAAAATAAATACAGAATGAGAAAAAAGGTAGAGAGAAAAACGTTGTACCTATAAATGATGTGAGTTGGAAAGACGAGATCTATTTGTCCTACTGACTATTTAATAAGTTAAAGGTTTCACGCCTAATGCTTTCTTTATCGCACAGAACACTAGCCAAGTAGGGTATGGATGAGTTTTTGTACTTACTAGTGTGGGCATATAGTTTCCTATATAGGCTTCTGGTTTTCCCTGAAGAGATACAAGGGGAGAGTTGTGAATGTAGAGGGTGTTGTGAGTCAGATATAATGGATTTTACCCATTTTTCACATAATTCCATGTGCCTGTCCACCAGAATATACAGAATATACCAGACTATACACCCTATACACACTTGATTGACTATGTTAACTAATGGACTATCATCTCGCCTTACACATGCACCCCAATACAGTTTCTGATATTATTTTCATTTGCCTTTACTGGCTATATGTGTAACATCAGAAGACAAGGGCCAGGCAACAGATCGTTTATTAAGGAAATCAACACGTATTTATATATTTTCATGTACATTATTATCTGTCTGTCTGTCTGTTTTCGACATAGAACTTTGCACAAATGTGCGGAAGTTCAAGTCGCCACATTCCGTGTAGCACGCGAAGCAAGAGAAGAAAGTACAAGAAAAGCATAATAGAAACAGTGAGCAGAGGTGTGAGACAAAGGAGTAATAAAGAAATACAAAACAGTTTCATTGAAGATCATAAGTCACAGGGAGTGGATGCATCTGCGCCACTGAGAACGATTTTGAGCCATGTCACCAATTGTTTCCAACCATAGATTTTTACCGTCCCGAGGACCCCAGCCTGGAAGTCTACACCTTCCTACGTGGCTTAGACCAACTGTTGTGGATTTCATTGACTGATGCCAAGTTTTTGTTTGACCGCCGCTAGCTTTTTTCCAGCCTGACCCTATATCCGCTAACATTGCTCGTCGAGGGAGGCGATGGCTTGGCATACGTAACACATGTCCTAACCATCTCAGTCTTTGTAGCTTCACGACTTCGTCGATTGATTTCCCCTGTTTACCTAGAACTCTACGCCTAACCTCCATGTTGCTCACCTTATTATGCCACTTTACACGGGAAATAGAACGCAGGCACCTATGATCAAAGACAGCTAGTCTTTTCATGTCTTCCACTCTCAGTGGCCAGGTCTCACAACCATAAAGGAGGACGGAGCGGACTGATGAGCAGTACACCCGCCCTTTGGTCGATAGTCGAACATCTCGTCTACGCCAGAGTCGGCGTAAACTAACAAATGCGAAACGAGCCCCTTGTATTCGTGCTGAGATTTCGTCAGAGATCAGCCCGTTGGGGCTGATGGTACTTCCCAAATAAGTGAAGCGGTCAACGTGCTCTACCACTTCACTTCCTATTTTTAAACTAGGCGTCGATGTAGTCCAGTCCTGTAACATCATCTTGCATTTGGCGGGAGCGAATCGCATGCCAAACATTCGTAGATTGCGGCTCAAGGTGTTTAGAAGACTCTGCATTTCGTCAGCGTCTTCGCCTAGAAGGACTATATCGTCTGCATATTCCAAGTCAACGAGATTATTCCCCGGTAGCAAGTCAATCCCTGAGTCGCTGAAGTCACCTAGGGTTAAGTCCATTAACACATCTATGATGAAGTTGAATAGAAAAGGAGATAATGGGCATCCTTGACGGACACCACTGGTCGTCATCAGTTCAGATGACAGCTCGCCGTAAGCCCTCACCTGGCTGTATGAGTACGAGTAGAGTGCCTTAATCAGTGCAATATATTTTCTTGGAATTCCCTTTACAGCCAAGCATCTCCAGAGAACTTCCCGATCGACAGAGTCGAATGCTGCCTTTAGGTCAAGAAATATAATGACTGTTGGACGCCGGTAGGAATGCCTATGTTCTAGAATCTGTCGGAGGGTGAAGATATGATCAATACACCCTCTTCCTGGTCTAAAGCCTGCCTGGCTCTCTCGTGTTTGTGCTTCCCGAGCACCACTCAGTCTACGCATGATTATTGAGCCTAAGACTTTAGATACTATATTAGTCAAGCTAATCCCTCTGTGATTATCACAGGAAGACTTGTCTCCCTTCTTGTATATGGGGATAATCAGTGACTTACACCAACCCGATGGGACTTCTTCTGATTCCCAGACGCTGCCTAGTACCTCAGTTAATCCGGACAGTAAGCTGTCTCCACCGTACTTAAATACCTCTGGAGTCATTCCATCAGGTCCCGCTGCTTTGCCTAGTTTCAGATTGGTGACAGCTTTAGTAACCTCAGTTAGTGACGGAGGACCTGTGTTTATATCCCATTCAGGGAGGTGTTGGATGCTCGGAAGGTTGAGCGTGGCTGTGGGCAAATTAAACTGCTCCTCATAATGCTCTTTCCAACGATCCAGTCGTCTATCCTGGGAGCTAATTATAGTGCCATTTTTTTCCGAGATTGTCTCACTGATGATTTGTCTTCTCCCACCCGTTTCCCTGATGAGTCCAAAGAGTTGCCTGGTGTTGCCTATCCTCGAAGCTTTCTCCATCTCTTTGGCTTTTGTCGCCCACCACTGTTCACGGTCCTTGCGGAGACTTTTCGTAAGTTTCCTCTTGTGCAGCTTTCGCTCCTCATTGAATTCGGAGCTCGCCGGAATAAGTCTTCTAGCATCTATCAGTTCGGATGAGGCGGTGGAGATCCAGTGGTTTTTACTCACCTTTGGGTTTACCTTATTCACAGCTTTTACAGCTGTATCTATGGCTGCCTGGATATTTTTCCAAGCTTCTTCAGGGTGAGCACAGCTGTCGAACACAGATATGTGTTTAGCTAGTTCTTCCTCAAATACGGATTTAGTTTCCTGATCGAGCTGGGGACGTGATGGTTTTACCGCCAGCTGTTTCCTACGTCCGTTCAGTCGTAAGCACACCCGAGCGCGGACCAGTGCATGGTCGGTATCTACGCACGTGTTCCAGAAGGAGCGACAATCTCCTACCGACCCACGCCAACGATAGCTTATTGCTATGTGGTCTATTTGTGTCCAGCGTTGGTTTGATGAAGGGGGTCTCCAAGTCAAACAGTGTCTCTCCTTGTGTTTAA